ACGGGAGAAGATTGGTCGCTACAATTGGAATTGGTCTCTCAATAGAGAACCTCAAAACAGACACCTTTGAACTACATTCCGTCTACGACTTCCACGAAATGTAATGGACTAACAGCGCAAAAAGACTAACATATAAAAGTGAATTTCAATTCAGCATTTTAAACATTGGGATGCAAGGTCATTTTTGTAATAATTTCCTACCTAGAACTGAATTCTTCAAAACACGATCTGGTCTCTCCGAATTGCGAAATACGAAGACACCTTTACGGCACCTACTCAATAAAACTCAGTTCCCTTTTTCATCGTCAACTAACTTCTTAAAGAGAAAAATTTAAGAGGACTTTCCCCTTTTTATGGACAAAACTGTGTTTGCTATGGCACAAGAACCTTACAAGCGTGATTGTACCGAGTACTTGCAAAGAATGAGTAACAATGTGACAAAATGGCCATTTTTCAAGCTGTAATTGATTTCCATGCGAGCAATCGACAGCAAAAAGAAGGAGCTTACAAAAGACTGTATGTCTCCATTAAAAAAAATGAAGTCTCTCTTCCGCTTGGCCGTGGAAGATCTGGATACGAGATAAGAAGCGTCCTTCGGCTTGTCGTAAGCCTACAGCGGAAGTTCCAATGTTGAGGCCTTATAGAGACGAACACATACACTAGTTGGCATTCGAAAAGAGTTTACAAATAAGTAAGGTCATTCGCTGTGCGCTACTCCATTCAGAAAAACCGTCGCAAGTCTACATTTGAGACAAATCTCAAACAAAGACGAAGGAAGACGAAAACAGTCCATAATGTTAGGCTCCAGTCCATTTATAAAAACCTCACCGGCTTGCAAGACTAAAAAGACTCGCTGACTGGACGTCATCTTATTAACTACTACTGAAACAGGTTCTAAACGTTTTAAAACTGAAGCATTTTAAAATTTTAAATAAAAAATAGAACTAAACAAAATCCATCTGTATTTTATCAAGTTTCAAAATTTCGCAGGACGGTTAAATTTAGAGGAATGACTCGCCCTTTCAACGTTTTAGAATAAATTTAAGTTCTATTTTCTAAACCCAGCATTTGCAATTAAACAAACGGTTCTTCTAAGCAGGCAACAGCTCACATGTCAATTATGGACAGAGAGGAAATTGGAACTTTATGGAAAGGACTATATATTGCGGTGTTTAATTCTTTTGCTTTCAATGCTAGTGTTGCAAAACCTTCCCCGTGCACTGTTTTCTGGGTTGACCTTGTTTTGTACCATTTGATTCGGTGTTTCAACCCTTAAAAATCTATACCAACAATAACACTAAATTTCTGACAACCCTTGCGTATGTTCGTATTTACAAAGTTGTCAGATATCATTAGAATCAGATATACGGTCAAAATCAGCTTCAAAATGCCCAAGCAAGGGAGGCACACAAACAAAGAAAATCCGCCTATAATAGTTTATTTGTCTCTGTAGTTTTCTTAGCTTGTTATCTTCCTTTAATGCCTTGTAGAATATTGTACTTGACAAACACTTCTGAAATTTCATTTCACGAAGCTTATTTTGCGTCCATATTCTTGATTTACCTTAATTCATCATTAAATCCTTTTATTTATTGTTGGCGGTACCCAGAGATTCGCCAAAGTGTAAAAAGCACAGTAAAGCAAATATTTCACATGAACGAGAACATGTCATAAGGAAGGAATTAAAGATCTGGGTAGTTCGAACTGACAGTCTTTTCAGTGTCTTTGCGAAGTCTGAAAAACGAAATTTAGTGAGAAAACTAATGGACTTGCTTTAGGCCAAAAGAAAATGAAAAGTGTAAAACAAAAAAGAATAGTCTATTACAAAATAGAAATGGTGTTGAGAAACTGGGAAACGACACATGACTAGTAAAGTGGTCACCGTTATAACTTTCACAAATTTATCACAGGAACAAAGTTATGAGGATCTTGTTATGTGATTGTCTAACTGTGCTTAGCCGTTTGAGCCCTAAGATTGATCAGCATCAAAGTTCTCCTTGTAATACCTATGCTTTAGAAAACGGAGTGGTCATGGGAATTATGGACATGATCACACAGATTCTTTAACAACTTCTCCCAACTACTATTATAGGAAATGTAAAGCGACAACAAATGAGAATTTAAATATAGACATTACAATTTGAAGGATTAATATGTGACAAGTATAGTTCTTGCACAAAATGGTCTTAGATCTTTGCCAAGAAAAAGCATTTCAAATTCCACTGACTGATGAGAAAGGCCCAAACTATTAGGTTCAAGTCCTTTCCAGAAAGCGCACCGGCTTTGAAAACGCAAAACCCTCGCTGACGTCACATTAAACTACGAAACAGGTGTTACATTTTTCAAACTGAAAGTTTGCGTCGGATGGCTTAGAATTTTAAAACGAACAGAATTTAAAAAAAAAACCTCACTACTTTATTATGTTTTAAAGATTTCCGGCTGGACGGTTAAATTGAGAGAAAAATCTCGCCGTTTCAACTTTTCAGAATGATTTAGCCTTCTATAGTTAAACCAGCCGTTTTACATTAAACAAGCACATCTTTCCCAGCTTGGAAACTACTCGCATCTCAGTTATCAACAAAGAGGTAATTAGAACTTGATGGACACGAACCATGTATTGCACATTTTAAACGTTGTGTTTTCATTACGTATGTTAATAAACAACCTTATAACCCTGTACTATACAAACAATACACACTTCGTTTGAGGCATATTAAACCGACTACATTAACATCGAGCGTCAAAGTCGTCGGCTATTTTAAAAAACGAATAGAGAAGCGGTGACAAAGGTAAAATGCTTGAAAAACAACCGGCAAGATAAAAAATGGCTGAACAGTTCTGCAATCAAAAGTTGGAAGGTTTTCTACAACTTGCCCGTTACAGAGAAACTTTCTTGTTTTCTCTATGTGTTTCACACTTCGCGTTTTCTCTCGTGACAAGTCTCGGGAATATTTTACTGATTCGCGCCTTATTCAAAGCGTCATCAATACCAGCCAACGAGAAGAAGCTGTTTCTTAGTCTGGCTTTCTCTGACCTTGGGGTGGGATTGGTGTCGCAGCTAATGGCCGGCATTATTTATGCCGTGATACTGAAGACAGCATCAAAAGAAAACTACAACTTTACGTCACTCTGTCCAACAGTTATAAATTTGTCGTCTTATCTCTTGTTTTTTCTCTGCGCTGCATCTCTCCTAACTCTCTCCGCCATTGCACTCGACAGACTTCTCGCTGTTTCGCTCCATCTGCGATATCAAGAGCTTGTCACGTCCAAACGTGTCACTATAGTATTGATATCCATATGGTTAACAAGTTGTATCACTGCCTTGATATACATTTTCCTTCCGAAAAGCAATGAAATGGTAGCTATAGTTATTTTACTGGTAGGGTATGTTCTGACAACAGTGGCATATTTTCGTATTTACAAAGTCGTCAAATATCACCAGAATCAGATATACAGTCAAAATCAGCTTCAAAATGCACAAACAAGGGAGGCACTCAGACAAAGGAAGTCCGCTTATAATGCTTTGTTTGTCTATTTTGTTTTTCTAGTTTGTTATCTTCCTCTTTTGCCTTCTGTAATGTTGTACTTGATTAATACTTCTGAAACTTCGTTTCTCATAGCCAAATCTGCGTCGTCATTCTTAATTTACCTGAATTCATCATTTAATCCCATTGTTTATTGCTGGCGGTACCGAGAGATTCGCCAAATTGTAAAAAGCACAATGAAGAAAATACTTCGTTTAGACGAGAATATGACGTGAGGATGCGAAGTTCTACGAGACGAAATTTGGAGAGAACGAGCAATTCTAGAAGGAAACTGGGGCGAGTTAACTTTCGCAAAGACTTCTGGGACTATTACTAGGGAGAAGGGAAAAAATAACCAAAAATGACCGCGCTGATCGACGCGTCCCCACCTGAGTAACAGTCCCAAGAAAAAATTGCGGGAAATATTTCGGCCCTAATCGTTTTAAAAGTGGCGAATGGACTTGCTGTGCCCAAAGACCAAGGAAAGGTGTAAACAGGAGAAGATTGGTCGCTACAATTGCAATTGGTCTCTCAATAGAGACCCTGAAAACAGACACCTTTGAACTAAATTCCGTCTACGACTTCCACGAAATGTAATGGACTTACAGTGGAAAAAGACTAACATATAAAAGTGAATTTCAATTCAGCATTTTAAACATTGGGATGGAAGGCGGTTTTTGTAATAACTGCCTACCTACGATTGAATTCTTTAAAACACGATCTGGTCTCTCCCAATTGCGAAAAAAGAAGACACCTTTAGGGCACCTACTTAATGAAACTCAGTTCCCTTTTTCATGGTCAACTAACTTTTTAAAGAGACAAATTTAGGAGTTTATGGACAAAACTGTGTTTGCTACGGCTCAAGAACCTTAGCGTTTACAAGCGTGATTTTACCGATTACTTGCAAAGAATAAGTAACAATGTGACAAAATGGCCATTTTCCAAGCTGTAATCGATTTCCATCCGAGCAATGGACAGCCAAAGTAGTAGCTTACGACAGACTGTATGTCTCCATTAAAAAAATGAAGTCTCTCTTCCGCTTGGCCGTGGGAGATCTGGATACGAGATAAGACGCGTCCTACTGTTTGTCGTAAGCTACAGCGGAAGTTGCAATGTTGAGGCTCTTTAGAGACGAACACATATACTCGTTGGCATTCGAAAAGAGTTTACAAATAAGTAAGGTCATTCACAAGTCTACATTTGAGACAAATCTCAAAGAAAGACGAAGGAAGACGAAAACAGTCCATAATGTTGGGCTCCAGTCCATTTATAAAAACCTCATCGGCTTCCAAGACTAAAAAGCCTCGCTGACTAGACGTCACTTTAATAACTACTACTGAAACAGGTGCTAATCGTTTTAAAACTGAAGCATTGCGTCAAAATGCTTAAAATTTAAAAAAAAAATAGAACCAAACAAAATCCATCTGTATTTTATCATGTTTCAAAAATTTCGCTGGACAGTTAAATTTAGAGGAAAAACTCACCCTTACAACGTTTTAGAATAAATTAAACTTCTATTTTCTATACCGAGCAAACAAACGGTTCTTCTCAGCAGGCAACAGCTCACATGTCAATTATGGACAGAGAGGTAATTGGAACTTTATGGAAAGGACTATACATTGCGGTGTGTAATAATTGTTTTGTTTTTAATACTAGTGTTGCAAAACCTTCCCCTTCCATTGTTTTCTGGGTTGGACTTGTTTTATACAATTTAATTCGTTGTTTCAACCCTTGAACAATGACATTAAATTTCTGTTTACACCCTACCTATAACATTAAGTCTAAGGATTTAGTTAATGAACCGGCTTTATTACGCGCTACAGCAGATGGCCCATGTGAAAAGTAGCTAATAAACCGAGGGGGTAATTAATGTAGATATCAGTTTTATCCAAGACAAATACATGTATGTAATGTGACAAGTCAAACTATGGCTGAAAAGAACTGCAATCGATTTCTGGATTATTGGATTAAACTAGTTTCCTACAGGAGAAGTTTCTTCCTTGGTATCTAGGTTTTAAACTTTGTATTTTCCCTCCCTTCATAATGCCCAAACAAGAGAGGCACACCGACAAAGGAAGTAGTTTATTTGTCTCCCGACAGTATTTTTTTTAGCGTGTTGTTGTCCTCATTCGAGCAATATGTAAAAGGTTTTCAAAGGTTTCACGTCGGTGAAGATGTGCGGCTTGTCACCCCTTACAGTTTTTACTGTGAGGATTTTGTCAAGTGATGGCCTAACTGTGCTTAACCCTTTAGGCCCTAAGAGTGATCAGCATCAAATTTCTCCTAGTAAGATCCCTGCTGTAGAAAACAAGGTTGTTATGAGAATTAGGGACATAATCACACAGATTCTTTGACAGCTTCTCTCAACTACTATTATCATGAGGAAACGTATGGGAACAACAAATGAGAAATTGAATTTTAATATTACAATTTTTAATATTAGTTCTTGCACTAAAATAATGGTCTCAGATCTTCGCCAAGAAAGAGCATTTTAAATTCCACTAACTTATGTCAGAGACACCAGAACGTGACGAACGTGTCACTTTCAGTTCCATATTTATACACTGGAATCCTGATTTTTGTGCATTTAGTGGGGAAGAGCTTACAAACGAGCAAGGTTATTGAGCTCGCTGTGCGCTAGTCCATTCAGACTACATAACACCGTTGTGAGTCCCCAGTTGAGGCTAATTAGTTTCCAGTCCTTTATTAAAAACATCACCAGCTTTGAAGACTCAAAAGCCTAGCTCACGACACCTTGAACTAAGGAACAAGTGCTAATTTTTTCAAAGTGAAAAATTGCTTAAAACAAAAATCCACCATTATTTCATATGTATAAATCATTTGATGGTCGGATCAATAAACAGAAAATACTCCCTCTTTCAACGTTTTACAATGATTTAACATTCTATTTTTATACCAATCGTTTCCAATTAAGCAACTGTTTCCTCTTAGCAGGGAGTAGCTCACATCTCAAATATGGACAGAGAGGTAATTGGAACTTAATGGCAAAGGACTATATATTACGGTGTTTAATTTTTTGTTTTCAATACTAATGTCGTAAAACCTTTCCCTTGTTTTCTGAGTTGGCCTTGTTTACAATTCGATTCGGTGTTTTAAACCTCAAAATTTTGTACCAACAATAGCAATTTCGGTATGCACTCTAACTATAAACATTGAGTCTAAAGCTTTAGTTAATGAACCGGCTATATACCGTGACACAGCTGATAGCTTTTATGAAAGGTAGCTAATTAACCGAGGGGGTAATCAATGTAGATATTTTACCACAAAGGAAAAATTCATCTATACAATTTGACAGGTTAAACCAAGGCTGAACAGTTCTGCACTCGGTTGCTTGATTCCTGGCTTCAACTTGTTCATCACACAAGATCTTCCCTCCTTGCTTTTTGTGTTTTAGACTTCGTATTTTCTGTCCTGGCGACTCTTGAAAATCTGTTTGTTATTCGCGCCTTAATGAAAGCCTCAACGATACCAGCTACTGTGAAAAAGCTGTTCCTAAGTCTGGCTTTCTCTGATCTTGCAGTTGGACTGTGTTCGCAGCTTATGACCGCTATTATCAACGCCTCGATATTGAAGATGACATCAAGTGGAAACAACACAGCCTTCTTCTGTCGAACAGTTTTGGGTGTGAAAAGTTACTTTGTGTATCTTCTCGCCGCCGCATCTTTTCTGAATGTTATTGTCATTGCATTTGATAGACTTCTCGCTGTTTCGCTCCATCTGCGATATCAGGAGCTTATCACACCCAAACGTCTTAATATAGCATTGGTGTCTTTGTGGTTAATAAGTTGTTTCACCGCCTTCATATTCGTTTTCCTTCCGACAAGCAATGAAATAGTGGCCGCAGTTATTTTATTGACAGGGTATGTTTTGACCACCGTGGCATATGTTCGTATTTACGAAGGCGTTTTCTCTCGTGACAAGTCTTGGAAATATTTTAGTAATTCGCGCCTTACTGAAAGCTTCATCAATACCAGCCAACGTCAAGAAGCTGTTCGTTAGTCTGGCTTTCTCTGATCTTGGGGTGGGATTGGTGTCGCAGCTAATGGCCGGCATTATTTATGCCGTGATACTGAAGACAGCATCAAAAGAAGACTACAACTTGACGTCACTCTGTCCAACAGTTTTAAATTTGAACTGTTATCTCTTGTTCTTTCTCTGCGCTGCATCTCTCCTAACTCTCACGACCATTGCACTCGACAGACTTCTCGCCGTTTCGCTCCATCTGCGATATCAAGAGCTTGTCACGTCCAAACGTGTCACTATAGTATTGATATCTATATGGTTAACAAGTTCTATCACTGCGTTGATGTACATTTTCCTTCCGAAAAGCAATGAAATGGTAGCTGCAGTTATTTTACTGCTAGGGTATGTTCTGACAACAGTGGCATATGTTCGTATTTACAAAATCGTCAAATATCACCAGAATCAGATATACAGCCAAAATCAGCTTCAAAATGCCCAAACAAGGGAGGTACTCCGACAAAGGAAGTCCGCCTATAATGCTATATTTGTCTATCTTGTTTTTCTAGCTTGTTATCTTCCTCTTTTGCCTTTAACAATACTGTACATGACAAATACTTCTGTAATTTCGTTTATCGTAGCTTTTTACGCATCGATATTCTTGATCCGCCTGAATTCATCATTAAATCCTCTTGTTTATTGCTGGCGGTACCGAGAGATTCGTCAAAGCGTAAAAAGCACAGTGAAAAAATTATTTCACATGAACGAGAACGTTACATGAGAAACGATTTAAAGCTTCGCATAGTTTGAACTGAAAGTCTTTCCAGTGTCTTTTGCGAGGTGGAAAAGGAGATATGGTACGGAAACCAATGGACTTATTTTGGTGCACCGAGAAATGTAAAACGAAACAGAAACAGAAACAGAATATTCTGTTAGACACTGGAACTGGTGTTGATAAATTGTGAAACGAGAACTGGCTAATAAACTTCTCAACGTTCTCAACGGTTCCACGCCGACATATATGTGAAGTCTGTCATCCGTTACAGTTACTCACTCATAATCCATTGCCACTTCGAGGAACAATCATACATGATATACATTTAAACGATATATTTGTATACTTTACAAAAAAGCAAGGCAAAATTCTTATTTTTTTCCAAATTTTAACCTTAATAAAAACGCAACCTAGCGTCTAAAGCTTTCAGAAAAGATGGATCGAACAGCAACCTGATTGGCTGGCAAGGAGCCAATCAAACCGCGCCATTTTCGATTCTCCAAACGATACAGGGTGCATGTATAAACGCCTACCAAATCACGGCCAACAAAACGGAATGGTTCAGAGTTCACCTCAACCATCCAACCACATAGCAACTGATGAGAATCGTAAGATTCCAAACCGCGGTCTTGCTTGTAAACTTACCTTTAACTGCATATATTACGTAGTAGCACAAAGAAGCCAGTCAATTGATTGGTAAACAAAGTAAATGCTACGGTATTTTAATTATCGAGCGTTTTTTAATACTATCCTCTAATAAACTACAGTCACATTCACAAAGCTATTGAGTAATAAATCTACATTCAAAGGACACAGCATTATAACGTATTTAAATAATGCTTGCACCAGAGGTGCGATAAATACCCAAAAAAACCAGAGTTAAATCTGGACATATTTAAAGAATGCTTGCTGTGCACAGCTAAACATTGTGCTCTGAGGTCGAGTAAACCTCAACTGTACGGAGATGTTAAAAGCGGATACTTAAGATAACAGAAGCTATGGAAAATGATCATAACTACTTTCAAGCGATTTTAAGCAGACATCTCTCATAAAACGGACAAAACATTCAACAGAAAGCACACAAACTGAATAAATTGTCTGTTGCATTTTTCCTCTGCTGCGTATAGAATGCACTGAGCCTTTTGTTTGGTCGGCTTTATAAAAGCTGTATCAACTTAACAGGCATAACAGCCCACCTATCGTAGAGCTTTTAAAGTGTAAAATCCCTGAAAGATTTCTCCTCTCTGGCTCCGCTAGCCCCTATAGTTATTTCAGGCACCAAGTACTCTAATTTACTTCCAATATTTTCATTGTCGTAATTTAGTGTTTAGCAAGAGTGAGACCAAATAAAGATTGTTGTTGTTATTGTCCTCATTGAAGGAATATGTTAAAGGTTTTCACAGGTTTCACGCCGGTGAAGATGTGCGGCCTGTTACCCCTTGCAGTTTTTAATATGAGGATTTTGTCATGTGATGGCCTAACTGTGCTTAACCCTTTAAGCCCTAAGAATTATCAGCATCAAATTTCTCCTAGTAATATCTGTCCTTTATAAAATAGGGTTGTTATGAGAATTAGGGACATGATCACACAGATTCTTTAACAACTTCTCCCAACTACTATTATAGCAAACCTGTAGGGACAACAAATGAGAATTTAAGAGTTAACAATTAAAGGGTTTATATGTGACCAAGAAGATTAGTTCTTGCACAAAATGGTCTTAGACCTTCGCCAAGAAAAAGCATTTCAAATTCCACTATCTGATTTCGGAGACATAAGAACGTGACGAACGTTCATGTTACAATACTGTTAGTATCTGTGTGGATAATAAGTTTCGTCCTCGCCTTCCTATTTATTTTCTTTCCAAAAGAAATTGAGATGGCAGCTGTGGTTATTTGCCTTATAGGATATGTTGTAACGACCATGTCATGTGTTCCAATTTACAACGTTGTCAAATATCATCAGAATCAGATTTACAGTCAAAATTAGCTTCAAAATGTCCAAACAAGAGAGGCACACGGACAAAGGAAGTCCGCCTACAATTATTTGTCTCAGTAGTTTTTTCTACTTGTTATTTTCCTTCTTTTCCTTATACAAAACTGTTGGAGACAAATACTTCTGAAATTTCGTTTCTCGTAGCCAGATATGCCTCCGTGTTCTTAATTTGCCTGAATTCATCATTAAGTCCAATTGTTTATTGCTGGCGGCACCGAGAGATTCGCGAAATTGTAAAAAACACAGTGAAGAAAATAATTTGCATGAACGAGAATATGACATAAGAAAAGACCTTAACCTCGGGATAGTTTTAACTAAAAATGTAATGCAAAGTTTTTTTGAAACGCAATTAAGTAAGAAAATGCAACGGACTTGCTATGCTACAAAGACTAAGAAAACGTGTGAAAGAGAAAGACTGGCCTATTCGATATCGGAATTGGTCTCGCTGGAAAGAGAAACAAAAAGACACCTCTGATCTTAATTCCTTCCACAACTTCTACGAAATGGAATTAAGCAAGAAAGCCAATAGACTTGCAGCGCAAAAGGACCATGAAAACATATAAAGTGAATTTCAATGTAGCATTTTAAACATTGGTTTGCAAGGCGATTTGTTGTATTAACTACCTACCTAAGATTGGTCTCTTCGAAATTGGATCTGGTCTCTGTGAATTGCGAGACAAGAAGACGCCTTTAGAGCATTTATGTAATGAAACTCGGCTGTGTTTTTCATCGACAAATAACTTTTTACAGAGAGAAACTTAAAAGCATTTTTCCCCTTTAACGCTATGGCGAAAGAACCTTATCGTTTTCAAGAAATATCCTTACAACCGTGACTGTACCGATAACTGCCAAAGAATAAGTAACAATGTGACAAAATGGTCAATTCTCAAGGTGTAATCGATTTCAATCCCAACAATCGCCAGTCAAAGTAGTTGTTTACAACTGTATGCATGTCTCCATTAAAAAAAGTGAAGTCTCTCTTTCGCTTGGCCGTGGGAAATCTGGGTACGAAATAAGACGCGTCCTACGACGTACGCCTACAGCGGAAGTTGCAATCTTAACACTCTTCAGAGACGAACACATACGCTCGTTGGCATTCGAAAAGAGTTTACAAATAAGCAAGGTCATTTGGATTCGCTGTGCGCTATTCCTATCATTTGAGAGATATGTCAAAAAAAGACAAAGGAAGACGAAACAATCCAAATAAAAATGTTAGGCTCCAGTCCATTTATAAAAACCTCACCTGCTTGGAAAACTAAAAAGCCTCGCTGAGCGGGCATCACCGTCAACTACGAAATGGGCGCTAAACTTTTCAAAACTGAAACCTTGTGTCAAAAGTTTAAATAAAAGAATAGAACTAAACAAAATCCATCTGTATTTTACTATGTTGCAAAAATTTCGCTCCCCTTCAACGTTTTAGAATGAATTAAAATTCTATTTTCTATACCGAGCATTTGCAATTTTAAAAACAAACGGTTCTTCTCAGCAGGTAACAGCACACATGTCAATTATGGACAAAGAGGAAATTGGAACTTGATGGAAGGACTAAATATTGCGGTGTGTAATAATTGTTTTGTTTTTAATACTAGTGTTGCAAAACCTTCCCCTTCCATTGCTTTCTGGGTTGGCCTTGTTTTATACAATTTAATTCGTTGTTTCAACCCTTGAACAATGACATTAAATTTTTGTTTACACTCTACCTATAACATCAAGTCTAAGGATTTAGTTAATGAACCGGCTTTATTACGCGCTACAGCAGATGGCCCATGTGAAAAGTAGCTAATAAACCGAGGGGGTAATTAATGTAGATATCAGTTTTATCCAAGACAAATACATGTATGCAATGTGACAAGTCAAACTATGGCTGAAAAGAACTGCAATCGATTTCTGGATTATTGGATTAAACTAGTTTCCTACAGGAGAAGTTTCTTCCTTGGTATCTAGGTTTTAAACTTTGTATTTTTCCTCCCTTCATAATGCCCAAACAAGAGAGGCACACCGACAAAGGAAGTCCGCCTACAATAGTTTATTTGTCTCCCGGCAGTAGTTTTTCAGCGTGTTGTTGTCCTCATTCCAGCAATATGTAAAAGCTTTTCAAAGGTTTCACGTCAGTGAAGATGTGTGGCCCGTCACCCTTTACAGTTTTTACTATGAGGATTTTGTCATGTGATGGCCTAACTGTGCTTAACCCTTTAGGCCCTAAGAGTGATCAGCATCAAATTTCTCCTAGTAATATCCCTGCCGTAGAAAACAAGGTTGTTATGAGAATTAGGGACATAATCACACAGATTCTTTGACAGCTTCTCTCGACTACTATTATCATGAGGAAACGTATGGGAACAACAATTGAGAATTTGAATTTTAATATTACAATTTAAGGGACTATTATGTGACCAAGTAGATAAGTTCTTGCACTAAATGGTCTCAGATCTTCGCCAAGAAAAACCATTTTAAATTCTAATAACTTATGTCAGAGACACAAGAAAGTGACGAACGTGTCCCTTTCAGTTCCATATTTATACACTGGAATCCTGATTTTTGTGCATTTAGTGGGGAAGAGCTTACAAACGAGTAAGGTTATTGGGCTCGCTCTGCGCTAGTCCATTCAGACTACATAACACCGTTGTGAGTCCCCATTTGAGGCTAATTAGTTTCCAGTCCTTTTTTAAAAACATCACCAGCTTTGAAGACTCAAAAGCCTAGCTCACGACACCTTGAACTAAGGAACAAGTGCTAATTTTTTCAAAGTGAACTAAATTGGTTAAAAACAAAAATCCACCATTATTTCATATGTGTAAATCATTTTCTGATCGGATCAATAAACAGAAAATACTCGCTCTTTCAACGTTTTACAATGATTTCACGTTCTATGTTTATACTGATCGTTTCCAATTAAGCAACTGTTTCCTCTTAGCGGAGTAGCTCACATCTCAAATATGGACAGAGAGGTAATTGGAACTTAATGGCAAAGGACTATATATTACGGTGTTTAATTTTTTGTTTTCAATAATAATGTCGTAAAACCTTTCCCTTGTTTTCTGAGTTGGCCTTGTTTACAATTCGATTCGGTGTTTTAAACCTCAAAATTTTGTACCAACAATAGGAATTTCGGTATGCTCTCTAACTACAAACATTGAGTCTAAAGCTTTAGTTAATGAACCGGCTATATAACGTGTCACGGCAGATGGCTGTTATGGAAGGTAGCTAATGAACCGAGGGGGTAATCAATGTAGATATTTTACCAAACGGTAAAATTCATCTATATAATTTGACGGGTTAAACCATGGCTGAACAGTTCTGCACTCGGTTGCTTCATTCCTTGGTTCAACTTGTTCATCACAGATCTTCCTTCCTTTCTTTTTGTGTTTTAAACTTTGTATTTTCCGTCGAGGCGACTCTTGAAAATCTGTTAGTTATTCGCGCCTTAATGAAAGCCTCAACGATACCAGCTACTGTGAAAAAGCTGCTCCTAAGTCTGGCTTTCTCTGATCTTGCAGTCGGACTGTGTTCGCAGCTTATGACCGCTATTATCAGCGCCTCGATATTGAAGATGGCATCAAGTGGAAACAACACAGCCTTCTTCTGTCCAACAGTTTTGGGTGTGAAAAATTACTTTATACATCTTCTCGCCTCTGCATCTTTTCTGAATGTTATTGTCATCGCATTTGATAGACTTCTCGCTGTTTCGCTCCATCTGCGATATCAGGAGCTTATCACACCTAAACGTGTTAATATAGCATTGGTGTCTTTGTGGTTAATAAGGTGTATCACCGCCTTCATATTCGTTTTCCTTCCGACGAGCAATGAAATAGTAGGCGCAGTTATTTTAATGATAGGGTATGTTTTGACCACCGTAGCATATACTCGTATTTACAAAGTCGTCAAATATCATCAGAATCAGATATACAGCCAAAATCAGCTTCAAAATGCCCAAACAAGGGAGGTACTCCGACAAAAGAAGTCTGCCTATAATGCTATATTTGTCTATCTTGTTTTTCTAGCTTGTTATCTTCCTTTTTTGCCTTCAACAACACTGTACATGACATATACTTCTGAAATTTCGTTTTTCATAGCTTATTACTCATCGTTATTCTTGATGTTCCTCAATTCATCATTAAATCCTCTTGTTTATTACTGGCAGTACCGAGAAATTCGCCAAAGTGTAAAAAGCACAGTGAAGAAATTATTTCACATGAACGAGAACGTGACATGAGAAACGATTTAAAGCTTCTGATAGTTTGAACTGAAAGTCTTTCCTGTGTCTTTTGCGAGGTCTTCAAAACGAAATATGGTAAGGAAACCAATGGACTTATTTTGGTGCAAAGAAAATGAGAAATGTAAAACGAAACAGAATATTCTGTTAGACATTGGAACTGGCGTTGATAAATTGTGAAACGAGAACTGGCTAATAAAGTTCTCAACGTTCTCAACGGTTCCACACCGACATATATGTGACGTCTGTCATCCGTTACAGCTACTCACTCATAATCCACTGCCACTTTGAGGAACAATCATACGTGATATACATTTAAACGATATGTTTGTATACTTTACAAAAAAGCAAGGCAAGACTCTTATTTTTTCCAAATTTTAACCTTAATAAAAACGCAACCTAATGTCTAAAGCTTTCAGAAAAGATGGATCGAAACTACAGCAACCTGATTGGCTGGCAAGGAGCCGATCAAACCGCACCATTTTCGATCCTCCAAACGATCCAGGGGCATATATAAACGCCTACCAAATCACGGCTAACAATACGGAATGGTTCAGAGTTCACCTCAACCATCCAAACACTTAGCAACTGATGAGAATCGTAGGATTCCAAACCGCGGTCTTGCTAGTAAACTTATATTTAACTGCACATATTAAGTAGTAGCACAAAGAAGCCAGTCAATTGATTGGTAAACAAAGTAAATGTTATGGTATTTTAAATATCGAGCTTCTAAATACTATCCTCTAATAAACTACAGTCACATTCGGCCGTAAGGCCGTATTTAAGTTTAGAAAAAGAAAAAAAATCGCGTTATTTTCAGCTAGTTTATAAAGCAGACGCGTGAAATTAGGAAGTTTCACGTCGTAGTCATGCTACGACGGCTAAGAAATGTACAAAAAAGCGTGGTGCACGTGCAAAGTTGTTGTTTTGCTATCTAACCTTACTGCGTTTTCGCCGTTCTTGTTGCCATCTCCGTCGTCGTCGTCGCTTAAGTTCGCTATTGTTGTGATTCAAAAATTTTGCTACCATGGTAACACGGTGACGCCACACTTCTCCTCTCTATTGCTTTGCTTTCAAAACTTAGCTCGCAAAACCTTTCCGATCTTTCCTGGGTGGCTTTGTCTACAATCGAATTGGTGTTTGAACCTATTAAAATTTATACCAACAATAACAATTTCTGTTTGCACTCTACTTATACACATTGAGTCTAAGGTTCGGCAAAACAAACCGGCTATATAACGTGTCACAGCAGGTGGCTGTTATGAAAGGTAGGTAATTAACAGAGGGGGATATTAGTGTATATAGTTTATCGGAAGGAAAAATTTATCTCTTTAATATTACAATTTAGAACATGGATGAACAGTACTACGCTCGAATGCTGGACGTTTTGGTACAACTTGTTAGCCAAAAAAGAAGTTTCTTCTTTGTTTTTTCCTGTCTTCCGTCAACTTTCTTTCAGATTAGCCCCAATTGGGGACTGGCGACGATGCAGTCTGTATGAATTAGCGTTCCAACCTACAGATCCATTGATGTAGAAATCCACCGATCGTTTTCAATAAAACTAGCGGTCCTTCTCAACAGGTAGCAGCTCATATCTCAATTATGGACAGAAACGTAATTTGAAATTAATGGAAAAACAATATACAATGTATTACGGTGTTTAAATGTTTTGTCTGCAATACTTACGTCACAAAACCTTCCCCTTGTTTTCCCCTTCCCCCGATTGATCTTGTCATCTGTTCGATGTTTCATCCCTTAAAATTCATTCCAACAATACGACTGAATTTTTGTTTGCACTCTACCTAGAAACACTGAGTCTTAGTCTTTAGTTTAATAATCAGAACCATCTATATAACGGGTCACAGCTGTTATGAAAGGTAGCTAATTAACCAAGAAGGTAATTAATGTAGATATTTCATCGAATGGAAAAATTAATATTTATAGTTTGACAAGTTAAACCATGACTGAACAGTACTGTACTCAAAGGCTAGATTCCCGGTTAAAACTTGTTCATCACAGCAAGTCTTCCATCCTTGCTTTCTGTGTTTCACACTTTACATTTTCCCTCGTGGCGACTCTTGGAAATCGTTTAGTTATCCGCGCTTTAATAAAAGCCTCAACGATACCAGCCAACGTTAAGAAACTGTTCCTAAGTCTGGCTTTCTCTGATCTTGCAGTGCTGGGATTGTTACTGCAGCTAATGAAGGCAATTATCTATGCGGTGGTGTGGAAGATGGCGTCAAGGGGAGACAACTTGGCCTCCCTTTGCCCAACAGTTTTACGCGTGTATTCTTGTTTTGGTTATCTTCTCATCGCTGCATCTTTCCTGAATGTTACTGTCATTGCAGGCGAAAGGCTTCTTGCTCTTTCGCTCCATTTGTGATATCATGAGCTTGTCACACCCAAACGTGTTACAACAGTGGTGTCTGTATGGATAATAAGTTGCGTTCCTAAAATCCTATCTATTTTCTTTCCAAACGAAATTCAAATGGTAGCTGCAGTTATTTGTCTTACAGGATACCTTATAACGACCATGACATATGTTCGAATTTACAAAGTTGTCAAATATCATCAGAATTAGATTTACAGTCAAAATCAGCTTTAAAATGCCCAAACAAGGGAGGTACACCGACAAAGGAAGTCCGCCTACAAGAGTTTATTTTCCATTTTTTCTTTGTACAATACTAACTATACAAGACAAACCCCTCTGAAATTTAATTTCTCATAGCTCAAATTGCGTCGTTTTTCTTAATTCGCCTGAATTCATCATTAAACCCTACTGTTTATGGCCGGCGGTACCGTGACATTCGCCAAATTGAAAAAAATTTGCATGAACGAGAATATGACATAAGAAAAGACCTTAAGCTCAGGATAGTTTTAACTAAAAATGTAATGCGAAGTTTTATGAAACGAAATTAACTGGGAAAATGCAATGGACTTGCTGAGTTCAAAGAAACGTGTAAAAGGGAGATTGGTCTATTCGACATCGGAAATGGTCTCGCTGGAAAGAGAAACAAAAAGACACCTTTGATCTTAATTCCTTCTACAATTTCTACGAAATGGAATTTAGCAAGAAAACCAATAGACTTGCAGCGCAAAAAGACCAAGAAAACAAATAATGTGAATTTCAATTCAGCATTTTAAACATTGGGCTGAAAGGCGATTTGTTATAATAAATATCTTCCTAAGATTGGTCTCTGCGAAATTGGATCTGGTCTCTATGAATTGCGAGACAAGAAGACGCCTTTGCAGCATTTAAGTAATGAAACTTAGCTCTATTTTTCATCGTCAAAACACTTCTTACAGAGAGAAACGTAAAAGCATTTTCCCTTTTAATGTACAATGTTAGCTACGGTGCAAGAACCTTATCGTTTTCAAGAAATATCCTTAAAACAATAACTGTACCGATTACTGCCAAAGAATAAGTAACGATGTGACAAAATGGCCATTGTTCAAGCTGTGATCTACAGCGAAAGTTGCAATCTTAACACTCTTTAGAGACGAACACATATGCTCGTTGGCATTCGAAAAGAGTTTACAAATAAGCAAGGTCATTTGGGTTCGCTGTGCGCTATTCCTATCAGAAAAACCGTCGCGAGTCTACATTTGAGAGAAATGTCAACAAAACACAAAGGAAGACGAAAACAATCCAAATAAAAATGTTAGGCTCCAGTCCATTTATAAAAACCTCACCTGCTTGGAAAACTAAAAAGACTCGCTGAGCGGGCATCACCGTCAACTACGAAATGGGCGCGAAACTTTTTAAAACTGAAACCTTGTGTCAAAAGTTTAAAAGCATAGAACTAAACAAAATCCATCTGTATTTTACTATGTTTCAAAAATTTCGCTGGACGGTTAAATTTAGAGGAAAAACTCGCCCTTTCAACGTTTTAGAATGAATTAAAGTTCTATTTTCTATACCGAGCATTTACAAGTTTAAAAACAAACAGTTCTTCTCAGCAGGCAACAGCACACATGTCAATTATGGACAAAGAGGTAATTGGAACTTGATGGAAGGACTATACATTGCGGTGTGTAATAATTGTTTTGTTTTCAATACTAGTATTCCAAAACCTTCCCCCTTCCACTGTTTTCTGGGTTGGCCTTGTTTTATACTGTTTAATTCCTTGTTTCACTCTTGAACAATGACATTAAGTTTCTGTTTACACCCTACGTACAACATTAAGTCTAAGGATTTAGTTAATGAACCGGCTTTATTACGCGCTACAGCAGATGGCCGATGTGAAAAGTAGCAAATAAACCGAGGGGGTAATTAATGTAGATATCAGTTTTATCCAAGACAGATACATGTATGTAATGTGATAAGTCAAACTATGGCTGAAAAGAACTGCAATCGATTTCTGGATTATTGGATTAAACTAGTTTCCTACAGGAGAAGTTTCTTCCTTGGTATCTAGGTTTAAACTTTGTATTTTCCCTCCCTTCATAATGCCCAAACAAGAGAGGCACACCGACAAAGGAAGTCCGCCTACAATAGTTTATTTGGCTCCCGGCAGTAGTTTATTTAGCGTGTTGTTGTCCTCATTCGAGCAATATGTAAAAGGTTTTCAAAGGTCTCACGTCGGTGAAGATGTGCGGCCTGTCACCCCTTACAGTTTTTACTATGAGGATTTTGTCATGTGATGGCCTAACTGTGCTTAACCCTTTAGGCACTAAGAGTGATCAGCATCAAATTTCTCCTAGTAATATTCCTGCTGTAGAAAACAAGGTTGTTATGAGAATTAGGGACATAATCACACAGATTCTTTGACAGCTTCTCTCAACTACTATTATCATGAGGAAACGTATGGGAACAACAAATGAGAATTTGAATTTTAATATTACAATTTAAGGGACGATTATGTGACCAAGTAGATTAGTTCTTGCACTAAATGGTCTCAGATCTTCGCCAAGAAAAAGCATTTTAAATTCCACTAACTTATGTCAGAGACACAAGAACTTGACGAACGTGTCACTTTCAGTTCCATATTTATAAACTGGAATCCTGATTTTTGTGCATTTAGTGGAGAAGAGTTTACAAACGAGTAAGGTTATTGAGCTCGTTGTGCGCTAGTCCATTCAGACTACATAACACCGTTGTGAGTCCCCAGTTGAGGCTAATTAGTTTCCAGTCCTTTTTTAAAAACATCACCAGCTTTGAAGACTCAAAAGCCTAGCTCACGACACCTTGAAATAAGGAACAAGTGCTTTTTTTTCAAAGTGAAAAATTGGTTAAAAACAAAAATCCACCATTATTTCATATGTGTAAATCATTTGCTGGTCGAATCAATAAACAGAAAATACTCGCTCTTTCAACGTTTTACAATAATTTAACGTTTTATTTTTATACTGATCGTTTCCAATTAAGCAGCTGTTTCCTCTTAGCAGGGAGTAGCTCACGTCTCAAATATGGACAGAGAGGTAATTGGAACTTAATGGCAAAGGACTATATATTACGGTGTTTAATTTTTTGTTTTCAATACTAATGTCGTAAAACCTTTCCCTTGTTTTCTGAGTTGGCCTTGTTTACAATTCGATTCGGTGTTTTAAGCCTTAAAATTTTATACCAACAATAGGAATTTCGGTACGCACTCTAACTATAAACATTGAGTCTAAAGCTTAAGTTAATGAACCGGCTATATAACGTGACACAGCAGATAGCTTTTATGAAAGGTAGCTAATTAACCGAGGGGGTAATTAATGTAGACATTTCAGCAAAAAGGAAAAATTCGTCTATACAATTTGACAGGTTAAACCATGGCTGAACAGTTCTGCACTCGTGCGCTTCATTCCTTGGTTCAAGTTGTTCATCACAGAAGATCTTCCCTCCTTGCTTTGTGTGTTTTAGACTTTGTATTTTCTGTCGTGGCGACTCTTGAAAATCTGTTAGTTATTCGCGCCTTAATGAAAGCCTCAAAGATACCGGCTACTGTCAAAAAGCTGTTCCTAAGTCTGGCTTTCTCTGATCTTGCAGTTGGACTGTGTTCGCAGCTTATGACCGCTATTATCAGCGCCTCGATATTGGCATCAAGTGGAAACAACACCGCCTTCTTCTGTCCAACAGTTTTGGGTGTGAAAAGTTACTTTTGTATCTTCTCGGCAGTGCATCTCTTCTGAATGTTATTTTTATCGCATTTGATAGACTTCTCGCTGTTTCGCTCCATCTGCGATATCAGGAGCTTATCACACCCAAACGTGTTAATATAGCATTGGTGTCTTTGTGGTTAATAAGTTGTATCACCGCCTTCATATTCGTTTTCCTTCCGACGAGCAATGAAATAGTAGCTGCAGTTATTTTAATGATAGGGTATGTTTTGACCACCGTAGCATATGTTCGTATTTACAAAGTCGTCAAATATCATCAAAATCAGATATACAGGCAAAATCAGCTTCAAAATGCCCAAACAAGGGAGGCACTCCGACAAAGGAAGTCCGCCTATAATGCTATATTTGTCTATCTTGTTTTTCTAGCTTGTTATCTTCCTTTTTTGCCTTCAACAATACTGTACATGACAAATACTTCTGAAAGTTCGTTTATCGTCGCTAATTACGCATCGATATCCTTGATCTGCCTGAATTCATCATTAAATCCCCTTGTTTATTGCTGGCGGTACCGAGAAATTCGCCAAAGTGTAAAAAGCACAGTGAAGAAATTATTCAACATGAACAAGAACGTGACATGAGACACGATTTAAAGCTTCGGATAGTTTGAATTGAAAGTCTTTCCAGTGTCTTTTGCGAGGTCTGCAAAACGAAATATGGTAAGGAAACCAATGGACTTATTTTGGTGCAAAGAAAATGAGAAATGTAAAAGGAAACAGAATATTCTGTTAGAAACTGGAACTGGGGTTGATAAATTGCGAAACGAGACCTTGTTAATAAACTTCTCAACGTTCTCAACGGTTCCACGCCGGCATATATGTGAAGTCTGTCATCCGTTACAGTTACTCACTCATAATCCCTTGCCACTTTGAGGAACAATCATACATGATGTACATTTAAACGATATGTTTGTATACTTTACCAAAAAGCAAGGCAAGACTCTTGTTTTTTCCAAATTTTAACCTCAATAAAAACGCAACCTAGTGTCTAAAGCTTTCAGAAAAGATGGATCGAAACTACAGCAACCTGATTGGCTGTCAAGGAGCCAATCAAACTGCACCATTTTCGATCCTCCAAACGATCCAGGGTGCGTATATAAACGCCTACCAAATCACGGCTAACAATACGGAATGGTTCAGAGTTCACCTCAACCATCCAACCACATACCAACTGATGAGAATCGTAAGATTCCAAACCGCGGTCTTGCGTGTAAACTTATATTTAACTGCATATACTATGTAGTAGCACAAAGAAGCCAGTCAATTGATTTGTAAACAAAGTAAATGCTATGGTATTTTAAATAACGAGCTTTTAAATACTCTCCTCTAATAAACCACAGTCACATTCACAAAGCAATTGAGTGCAAAAACGACATTCAAAGGACACAGCATTATAACGTATTTAAATAATGCTTCCACCAGAGGTGCGATAAATACCAACTAATACCCAAAACAACCAGAGTCAAATCCGGACATTTTTAAAGAATGCATGCTGTGCACAGCTAAACATTGTGCTCTGACGTCGAGTAAACCTCAACTGTACGGAGATATTAAAAGCGGATACTTAAGATAACAGAAACTATGGAAAATGATCATTATTACTTTTACGCGATTTTAAGCAGACATATCTTATAAAACGGACAAAAAACTCAACAAAAATGCATACGAACTGAATAAATTGTCTGTTGCGTAAGGTGCTGAACTTACACATTTTCCTCTGCTGAGTATAGAGTATACCAAGCCTTTCTTTGGTGCGCTATATAGAAGATATATCAACGTAACGAGCATAATAGCCCACCTATCGTACAATTTTTCAAGTGTAAAATCCCTAAGAGAGTTCTCCTCTCTGGCCCCGCTACCCCTATAGTTATTCCAGACAGCCAGTACTCTAATTTTACTTTCAATATTTTCATTGTCGTAATTTAGTGTTAAGCAAGAGTGAGACCAAATAAAGATTGTTGTTGTTATTGTCCTCATTGAAGCAATATGTAAAAGGTTTTCAAAGGTTTCACATAGGTGAAGATGTGTGGCCTGTCACTCCTTACAGTTTTTACTATGAGGATTTTGTCATGTGATGGCCTAACTGTGCTTAACCCTTTAAGCCTTAAGTGTGATCAGCATCAAATTTCTCCTTGCAATATCACTGCTTTAGAAAACGGAGCGGTCATGAGAATTATGGACATGATTACACATATTCTTTAACCAACGTCTCCCCACCACTAATTTAGGAAACGTACAGGGACAACAAATGAGAATTTGAATTTTGACATTCAAATTCAAAGGGTTAATATGTGACCAAGTAGATTAGTCCTTGCACAAAACGGTCTTAGATCTTCGCCAAGAAAAAGCATTTCAAATTCCACTGACTGATGTCGGAGACACAAGAACGTGACGAACGTGTCACTTTCAAGATGCGTTTCATTTTAATCTGGGCAATCGAGAGCGAACAACAGTTCCATATTTATACACAGGAATCCTGATTTTTTTTGGCATTTGGTGGGAAAGAGCTTACAAAAGAACAAGGTCATTTAGGTTCGCTGCGCGCTAGTCTATACAGACTACATTGTCGCCAATCCCCAGTTGAGGCTAATCTAAAAGACAGAAGACGGAAGACAAAACAGGCCCCTTTTTTAGACACCTCACCGGCTTTGAAAACTCAAAAGCCTCGCTTACATCGCCTTGAACAAAGAAACAGGTGCCAAATTTTTCAAACTGATAGCTTGCGTCCGATTGCTTAAAAGTTTAAATAAAAGAGTAGAATTGAACAAAATCCATAATTATTTTATAACGTGTAAATCATCTGCTGGTTGGATCAATTACGACAAAAAGCGCGCCTTTTCAACTTTTTACATAATTTAATGTTCTCTCTTTATACCGATCGTTTTCAATTAAACAAGCGGTTCCTCAAATCTCTATTATGGACAGAGACGTATTTGGAAATTAATGGAAAAGGACTATATACAATGTATTACGGTGTTTAATTGTTTTGCTTGCAATACTTACGTCACAAAACCTTCCCCTTGTTTTCCCCTTCCCCCGATTGATCTTGTCTACAATCACTCGATGTTTCAACCCTTAAAATTCATTCCAACAATAAGACTGAATTTTTGTTTGCACTCTACCTATAAACATTGAGTCTTAGTCTTTAGTTAATCAGAACCATCTATATAACGTGTCACAGCAGATGACTGTTACGAAAGATAACTAATTAACCGAGAAGGTAATTGATAATGGTAATTGAACTGAGTGGAGTGCAGTTTGGTCTGAAATCATACGCGTGATTTCAAAATCGAACTCGCGCTGCGCGCTCGTTCGATTTAAAATTACAAGTATGATTTCAGACCAAAATTGCACGACACGAAGTTCAGTTACCACTTTATTACATCCATTTTGAAATCGCAGAATTTAGTCAGTACTAATATTTTATTGATCGAGTAGCCGGTTTGTTAAAAAGCCGAAACAAAAAGGCTTTTACATCTCATTTTGTATTCGAAACAGAAATGATGCGATTTATAAAACAAAAATGGTGCGATTTAAAACAGAAATGATGCTATTTAGAACATGAACGACGCGATTTTTTTAGAGCAAAAAATGGTGCGATTTAGGAATAAATCACACTGCTGAGAGCCAATCAGATTGCACGGATAGCCAGTGATTTCAAAGTGGATGTAATAAATGTAGATATTTCATCGAAAGGAAAAATTCATGTTTATAGTCTTGACAAGTGAAACCATGCCTGAAACTCAGCTACCGTTTTTATCGTAAACTAACTTCTAAAAGAGACAAACCTGCCCCAGTGTGAGGATTTTCCTCTTTTATGGATCACAACAAACCGAAAAACGTCACTTAAAACTGTTTCAGACTTCATCGATCTCGTTCAGTTTCAATTAATTTGTCAAATGTGGGCTAAAATTTCTGCAGTTAAATCCGAAAAGACCGTATTTAAGTTTAGAAAAAGAAAAAAATTGTGTTGTTTTCACCTAGTTTATAAAGCGGACGCGTGAAATTAGGAAGTTTCACGTCGTAGTCGTGCTACGACGGCTAAGAAATGTAAAAAAAAGCGTGATGCACGTGCAAAGTTGTTGTTTTGCTGTGTAAACTTATTGCTTTTTCGCCGTTCTTGTTGCCGTCGCCGTCGTCGTTGCTTAAGCTCCCTATTGTTGTGATCCAAAAATTTTGTTACTATGGTAACACGACGTCACACTTCTCCTCTCTATTTAGAGTGGTCTTTACACTAGAGCCTAAATAAGCTAAGAAATATTTCGAGACAAGTAAATTTTAAATTCTTCAAGTAAAAGAAAGCTTCACACACAACCTTTCTTTTTTACTTCGGTTTTACTTAAGCCTATTTTCCCACGCAACATAATTAAGATTGATCGACATGCTTCGCCTTTCTCAAAGCAAAGAAAACGCAATTTCGCTACGTCAGTTTTAAGGATGGTTTTGAACTCACTTGAAACTTTCTTGAATCGTTTCAACTTTCCGACTTTAATGAGATGCAAAGTAAAGTTACTTGAAATTTTACTTAGGCCTTCACACACGCATTTTTGGTTAAGTAAAACTTAGCAGCTCTTAAGTCTTACTTAACAGCCTAGTGTAAAGACAACCAATTGCTTTGCTTTCAAAACTTAGCTCGCAAAACCTTCCCGATCTTTCCTGGGTGGCTTTGTCTACAATCGAATTGGTGTTTGAACCCTATTAAAATTTATACCAACAATAAGAATTTCTGTTTGCACTCTCCTTATTAACCTTGAGGCTAAAGTTCGGCAATAAACCGGCTATATAAAGTTTCACAGCAGATGGCTGTTATAAAAGGTAGCTATCGATATAATATTACAATTTAAAGCATGGATGAACAGTACTGCGCTCGAATGCTGGATTTTTTGGTACAACTTGTTAGCCAAAGGAGAAGTTTATTCTTTGCTTTCTGTGTTTTAAACTTTGTATTTTCTCTCGTGGCAACTCTTGAAAATCTTTTAGTTATCCGCGCGTTAACGAAGGCCTCTACGATACCAGCAACCGTCAAGAAGCTGTTCCTAAGTCTGGCATTCTCTGATCTTGCAGTGGGACTGTGTTCGCAGCTAATGAAGGCTATTATCAGTGCCTTGATATTCAAGATGGCATCGAGTGGGAACAATTTAGCCACCTTCTGCCCCGCAGTTTTAAACGTGCTTTCTTACTTCACGTATCTCCTCTCCACTGCATCTTTTCTGAATGTTACTGTCATTGCATTTGATAGACTTCTCGCTGTTTCGCTCCATCTGCGATACCAGGAGCTTGTCACTTCCAAACGTGTTATAGTAGTGTTAGTGTCTGTATGGATAATAAGTTGCATCCTTGCCTTTATATACATTTCTCTTCCAAAAGGCATTGAAATGTTAGCTGTGGGAATTGCCCTCGTAGGCTGTGTTCTGACAACCGTGGCATACGTTCGTATTTACAAAGTCGTCAAATATCATCAGAACCAGATATATACTCTGAATCGTCTTCAAACTGCGCAAACAAGGGAGGCACTTCGACAAAGGAAGTCCGCTTATAATTCTTTATTTGTCTATGTTGTTTTTCTAGTTTGTTATCTTCCTTTTTTGCCTAGCACAATAATGTATGTGACAAACACTTCTGAAATTTCAGTCCTCATAGGTCAATTTACCTCGCTGTTCTTGATTTGCCTGAATTCATCATTAAATCCTCTTGTTTATTGCTGGCGGTATCGAGAGATTCGCGAAATTGTAAAAAACACAATAACGAAAATATTTCGCGTGGACGAGAATACGACATGAGAAACGATCCAAGGCTCTGCGTAGTTTCAACTGAAAGTTTTTTTTTCTTTTTTCAGTGCCTTCTGAGTTTTTTGTCTTCATTTAACCGAATAGCCAAATTTTTGAAACATAATAGAGTAATGACGGATTTTTTCAGTTCTATTATTTTTTAAACTTTAAAACCATCTGACGCAAGCTTTCAGTTTGAAAAATTTAACACCTGTTTCAACTTTTTAGAATGATTTAACCTTCTATTGTTAAACCAGCAGTTCTAGATTAAACAAGCACATCTCTCCCAGCTTGAAACTACTCGCATCTCAGTTATAATAATAATATTAATAACTAGTAATAGTTGACACTACAGCTGCCCCGTTCTGTATATTGTCGGTCAATAGTATTCTTGCTGGTTGCGTAGCTCTTTGAAATATACCGATTAATAATGAAGAATTTCACACATATTCCATACAATAGGTGAGATAAATACTGGAAACGCAAGGTTTCATGCACAGTTTCAGCTCGATTTACACAGCTTTGATCAAAACATTCTCAGTTTCGAGAATAGTTTATTCTAAACCATAAGAAAAGATTTAATTAGAAGTTGAATTTTTTGCTATTTCTCTTTCCCTTTTTACATTCAGTTCATTTTATTTGCCGAAAAGTAAGCCTTAAAAATTAAAAGGACGTTTGATCGATTCACGCTAGCGCATTCTAGTCTTATTTGAAACTTTATAACGGAGGGACATCTGTGAGCAGGGAATAAGTCAGCATAGGATTTAATTGTCGGCGAATTTCTGTAAATGTCCATCAATCTGCTAGTGATAAGCTAGCCGTTGTTCACTCGTCTTGCTTGTTTGGGGCTGAGTCTTACTGCGGTCAAAGAGAGAGAAAGAGTGTCTGGCAAGGTTTCCGATACAAATCAAAGATTTGTGAACTCGTGTCTGGCAAACTCTCCACGTTTATATATACACAGTTAAACGCACCTTATAACCTCCCCTGCGCTTAACGAGTGTCTTTTGGTCCATAACTTTCAAAACAATTGCTCCACAGAATGTCACTGCGTAACGCAAAAGAGTATCGAAGTATGACTGCACAATAAATGTCACAAAATCTACCTGGGTGGTCCCTTCGGGATTTTCTGTCTTTACGTCATCCTAACCATTTCGTACTTGCGGGCGCAAACAATAGAAACGTCATCATTACCTACCGACTCCTCGCGGCCCCAGTTCGAGCAAATCGAGATTTTTTTTAGTATACTGACTGTATATTTGAACTGTAAGTACTGTCCTTAATATACGCGCGAGTTACTAGGGTGCCTCCTCGGGATTTCGCCTCTGGGCGAAATCCCTGCGGGGGCAATAATAACATGTTTAAACAGGATGACCATTTCAGGTATAAAAACTGCTATCAGTATGGGTCCTGTATAAAAATAAATGAATAAATAGATAAAAATTTAATTATATACGAAACTGGGATACATTACATGAATATAATCAATAAAAAAAGGAAGCCTCCTTATGAACAAAACTACATACAATCATTTAAAAGGGTAGCCCCCTTATAAAAATTGGAGATTGACTTAATCATTAGATAACCTATCCTTAGACCTAGTGTCATAGTCATGAATATCATAAGTTCACCGTCGAAAATAATCTGAGAAATAACTTGGAGCTTGTCCATAAAGACAATTCTTGGCAAGTTTGACGATATGTTTCTCTTTTCTCGTCTTAAGAGGGTCCCAACCAAGACCGGAAGCCATATCTTAAGTGGACAAATGCGCCGTCTTTAACACTATCCTAGCAGCACGTCTCTGCAGGCGTTCCAATTCTTTTTCATTTCCTTTACCACAGCCATAAAAAACAGCACAACAGTATTCCAAATCCAAATTTCGTAGTATCATCGATTTATACAATCGGTTCGATGCTTCAGTTGTTAATGACGCACGCTGTGCACAGCTAAACATTGTGCTCTGAGGTCGCGTAAACGTCAACTGAGCGGAGATATTAAAAGCCGATATTTAAGATAACAGCAGCTATGGAAAATGATCATTACTAACTTAAAGCGATTTTAAGCAGAAATATCTTATAAAACGAACAAAAAATTCAACAGAAATGCACAAGAACTGAATAAATTGTCTGCTGCATAAGATGCTGAACTTACACATTTTCCTCTACTGAGTATAAAATACAGCGAGCCTTTCTTTGGTCCGCTATATAAAAGCTATATCAATTTAACCAGCATTTTAGCACACCTGCTGCACAAGTTTAAAGTGTAAAATCAGTGAAAGAGTTCTCCTCTCTGGTTCCGCTAGCCCCTGTAGTATTCCAGGTAGCCAGTACTCTAATTTTCCTTTTAATATTTTCATTGTCGTAATTAAGTGTTAAGCAAGAGTGAGGCCAAATAAAGATTGTTGTTGTTATTGTCCTCATTGAAACAATATGTAAAAGATTTTCAAAAGTTTCACGTCCGTGAAGATGTGAGTCCTGTCACCCCTTTTCACTTTTTACTATGAGGATTTTATCATGTGATGGCCTAACTGTGCTTAACCCTTTTAAGCCCTAAGTGTGATCAGCATCAAATTTCTCCCTGTAACATCTCTGCTTTAGAAAACGGAGCGGTCATGAGAATTGAGGACATGATCACACAGATTCTTTAACAACTTCTCCCCTCTACTATTATCATGAGGAACCGTATGGGAACAACAAATGAGAATTTGAATTTTGATATTACAATTTAAAGGATTATTATGTGACCAAGTAGATTAGTTCTTGCACTAAATGGTCTCAGATCTTAGCCGAGAAAAAGCATTTTAAATTCCACTAACTTATGTCAGAGACACCAGAACGTGACGAACGGGTCACTTTCAAGATGCGATTCACTTTAATCTGGGCAATAGAGAGCGAAATTTTTTTTTCTGCATTTAGTGAGGAAGAGCTTACAAACGAGTAAGATTATTGATCTCGCTGTGCGCTAGTCCATTCAGACTACATAACACCGTCGTGAGTCTCCAGTTGAGGCTAATTACTTTCCAGTCCTTTTTTAAAGACATCACCAGCTTTGAAAACTCAAAAGTATCGCTGACGACACCTTGAACTAAGGAACAAGTGCTAAATTTTTTAAACTCAAAGATTGCTTAAAACAAAAATCCACTATTATTTCACATGTGTAAATCATTTGCTGATGGGATCAATAAACAGAAAATACTCGCTCTTTCAACGTTGTACAATGATTTAACGTTCTGTATTTCTACTGATCCTTTCCAATTAAGCAACTGCATGGTTCCTCTCCGCAGGGAGTAGCTCACATCTCAATTATTTACAATTCGATTCGGTGTTTTAAACCTTAAAATTTTGTACGAACAATAAGACTTTCTGTATGCACTCTAACTATAAACAGTGAGTCTACAGCTTTAGTTAATGAGCCGGCTATATAACGTGACACAGAAGATAGCTTTTGTGAAAGGTAGCAAATCAACCGAGGGGGTAATCAATGTAATTTTTTACCAAAAAGGAAAAATTCATCTATACAATTTCCGTGGTTAAACCATGGCTGAACAGTTCTGCACTCGGTTGCTTGATTTCTTGGTTCAACTTGTTCAGCACAGAAGATCTTCCTTCCTTGCTTTTTGTGTTTTAAACCGTTGTATTTTCTGTCGTGGTGACTCTTGAAAATCTTTTAGTCATTCCCGCCTTAATGAAAGCCTCAACGATACCAGCTACTGTGAAAAAGCTGTTCCTAAGTCTGGCTTTCTCTGATCTTGCAGTTGGACTGTGTTCGCAGCTTATGACCGCTATTATCAGCGCCTCGATATTGAAGACGAGCTAAGGCGGCATCAAGTGGAAACAACACAGCCTTCTTCTGTCCAACAGTTTTGAGTGTGAAAACTTACTTTATACATGTTCTCGCCACTGCATCTTTTCTGAATGTTATTGTGATCGCATTTGATAGACTTCTCGCTGTTTCGCTCCATCTGCGATATCAGGAGCTTATAAATAATATTATATAAATAAATAATATTGCTTATAGCGCGCAAATTAACATTCGAATATGATCAAATGCGCGTTACATCTAGGATACCTAAAAACTATAAACAAAAGCAATAAGAAAACTATATACATCATATAAAATCTAAAAATACATAATAATAACTAAATTACACCGTATTAAAAATAAGCTAATGAGCAATTAAATTAGATAAAATTAACAGAAAGCCATGCGAAACAAAAAAGTCTTAACCTTAGTTTTAAAAGTGTTAAAACATGTCTCGTGTCTGATTTCACGAGGGAGGGAATTTAATTTAACTTATCACACCCAAACGTGTTAATAAAGCATTGGTGTCTTTATGGTTAACAAGTTGTATCACCGCCTTCATACTCGTTCTCCTTCCGACAAGCGATGGAATAGTAGCCGCAGTGATTTTAATGATAGGGTATGTTTTGACCACCGTAGCATATGTTCGTATTTACAAAGTCGTCAAATATCATCAGAATCAGATATACAGGCAAAATCAGCTTCAAAATGCCCAAACAAGGGAGGTACTCCGACAAAAAAAGTCCGCCTACAATGCTATATTTGTCTATCTTGTTTTTCTAGCTTGTTATCTTCCTCTTTTGCCTTCAACAATACTGTACATGACAAATACTTCTGAAATTTCAGTATTAATATAACGGTAGCCTGCGTAGCTTGGCGGTTTTGTCGAGCGAGGCGCACGAGCGGCAAAGCCAGGAAAACGCGAAATCCGCGCGCGGAGCGCGCGTGAACGAGCGTTGAAGCCACCCCAATTTCCTCGAGGTTTCTCTGCCCTAGCCCGCCTTTATTACTTTGCGCTCCCAACCAAAACCACCATTGTATGTAAACACCCCCTTACTTTTGCCTTATTTGATTGCTGCCGCAGTGAGTGAGCCTGAAGCGAACGAACGAGGCAGCTCTCTAATCGGCAAAAATTACATTATAGCGGCATTCAATCACTTTTTCTTGCCAGAAGCAAGGAATTGTGGTTATGCGCGAAAGAAAGATTTAGGATGCGCAATGGACTCGCAATTATCTGGTATCTGGTGTTATTTCATTCGTAGGACATATTTTGACAACAGTGGCCTACGTTCGCGTTTACAAAGTTGCAAAATATCATCCGAATCAGATCAACAGTCAAAGTCAACGGCCAATTGCCGAAACAATGGAGGCAATCCGACAACAGAAGTATGCCTACAATTTTTTATTTTTCTACGCAGTTTATTTAGCTTGTTATGTTCCTTATCTGCCCTCCGCAATATTGTACTCGGTAAACCGTTCGGAGATTTCCCTTTTGGTACCAAAATGGGCCTCAATATTCTTGATTTTTCTGAATTGCTCGTTGAATCCTTACGGTCTTGTCCACTTCGATTATTTAAATGTCACTTTTATCATCAACGTAGACTTCTACCCTCCAACTCCTCGGCCTAAATATAATTATGACTTCAAAAAGGCTAATCTCATTGACCTCAAGAAAACTTTGGAACATATTCTCTAGAGTGTTTTACTGCCTAATGCTGACACAAACATATCTTCCTCCAACTGGGAAGACGTCTTCTGGTCGGCCGTCGATGAGTTTGTACCTAAGAAGAAAGCTAGAGATAAACTCACATTCACCCCCACCCTCCCCCACCCCCCTTTCCCCCAAATTTCTGAATCTCAACAATCTTTCTTAATAGCCTGAGAAAACATCCGACATTTCGCGACGCCACCAGTGGTTTACCCGCGAAATGACGTCTGAGAAACGAGCGCAGAAATTCCATACTGATGTAGCCTGCGTAGCAGGCGTCGAAAGGGGTAGGGGGTAGGGGATAGGGAGGAAGGGAAAAAGGGGAGGGGGATTGGGGAGAGAGGGAGGGGACGCCTGCTCTAAGAACCCCCTTTTGTTCATATCTGCGGACGCTGGCGTCCGCAAATTCCTGATTGGCTGAGCGGTAATGAGTAACATATTGAAATGTGCATTTCACAAATCAACAAACAGTCGAGATGGCAGCGGTAGACGTGGATGTCGTAGAGAGTGCTTTGAGAGATGTGAGTTTATCTAGTGGTAGAGAAACTGTTTTAAAACCAGAGCAAGAATCAGTAGTAAGGGATCTTTTAGCCGACAGAGATGTTCTGGCAGTTTTGCGGACCGGATACGGCAAGAGTTTAATTTACCAAACGTTTGTACGCGCGAAGAACTACGAGCTAAATGGTAATGCGGCGATTCTCGTCATTTCGCCAATGAAAAGTATTATCGAAGACCAGTTGCAGGAGATGGAATTGTTGGGCTACCCAGCGAAAGATTTAGCCAATTTATCGAACGATGACATTCGCCGATGTAACTTAGCAATAAAAGAAGGTGGTTTTACCTCACGCCAAAATGCTGCTTATTCCAATAAAGTTGTTTTTATCTGCTGGGTAGATTATGCTCTGGAAGGTTCTGCATTTATATACCCTGGTCCCAGAGGTTTTTCTTGATTTTTCTTCGCGAAAGAGATCAAGACTAGCCGCGAAGCGGCGACAACGAGTCGCGAAAGCGATGAGGAGAGAGAGAAAAACCTCTGGTTACCTTGGCCTTGAATCTCACTTTCATGCAGACGACAGCTGTCAAACACGTCAAATTGCTAATAAAAAGAGTGACCAATGGCAATTTAGCAAACACGTGCTTATCAGCCGCTATTTTTTTAACCGGGGTAGACCTGGGGAAATTATGTTATGAACAAACCATCTCCACTTGGGTGGTAAAGAGTGATTTGTTAATCGGGGTCAAGCTAAAGCATGTGTTAACGATGGGCGACAAGAGTCCAGGAATAAGAACACCACTTGATAAAGAAACCAACATTGTTCCAAACGACTGCTGCAGGATTTGCAGAATTTATGTAAAAATAAGTGGCTGATCTAAAATCAACATTTTTGGGTATAATAACAAGGATTTTTCAGAAACATTGTCATCTGTTCTGTCGGCTGTGTACATGACTCAACGGGATTATCTCTCAGAAGTGCCAGCGCGAAGTTCCCTCCAAAATAGTAATATTAATATGTATTCTGGCAATCTGGCTCGCGTTTTGGTTTAGCGGCTCCATTTCCTTTTTTTTGTGGAACAACGGCGCTAGGAAGAGTCATGCAGCGCAACAAACCCTTAAGGTTCGGAATGTACTTTCAGAGGTTTTTGTAGACCCAATGCCAACAATAACGTTGGTTAGATCTTTAAAGATAAATATTGGGCGTCGCAGGAAAATGCAACCTGCACCGAAAATGATTACGTACTTGTACAAAGTTGTATGTTTTTTTTTCCTACAAGGAAACCTTCATTCCGTATTCGGAGATTTATATTTTGCTGCCCTAAACAAGTTAGTTTATTTAATGGAATGACAGTATTGTAACAGAAAATGGTAAATACATCGAGACACGAGATACTGGTCGTCAACGTCTGGACTGCTAAAACTGGTAGACGCCACGGTTTCGCAGTTCGCGGATATGCGAGTCCACAAGAGACTTGAGAGGACAGAGAACCAAAATTATTGCATGGCGAGGGTATGAGTAGCCTCTTAAGGAAAGGTACTTGCAAACAGCAGGTAACGACTGAAATATTATATACTTTCCATGTCAGGTTGATAAAATGGTGAACACATCCTTTCGACTCAACGCGGCGAACAAAGCTTTCTTTTTTTGCTCAGTGTGACTCAGGAAAGCGTTCATCAAGTACCAAGGTCAAAATTTCTTCGAATATTCTTTCAGGAACAACATCCATGTCAAAATCTCGAAATATGGCGTGCCTTTACGTGCCTTGGTCCCGTGCAAATGTTAATGCGAGTGCAGCATACAACAATTTTCTTCCCTGGTAGAGAGAGGCAAAATGAGGTGTGAAAATCCTCAGCGTCCCCTCGGTAGATACAATTAAACGAGCCAATCAAATTGGTTTGCGTGTTTGAAAAAATATGAACCAATCAACGCCCGAGGGTCAGATCCTGACCTTGTCGTCTGCATGAAAGTGAGATTCAAGGCCAAGGTAACCAGAGGTTTTTCTCTCTCTCCTCATCGCTTTCGCGACTCTTTGTCGCCGCTTCGCGGCTAGTCTTGATCTCTTTCGCGAAGAAAAATCATGAAAAACCTCTGGGACCAGGGTAGCATTTATACTGAGCAAATGTTATTTTAGCCGCATGTTTCACACTGAGAGGTCATGACATACATATCGATTGACTGTAGTTTTTGTTTTCCGGTCGGCAGGATTTGCCCTCTGATGCAAGCGCAATTCAGTTTGACCTCTTTTGAAGGGTAACACTTTTTTTATTACGGCTGAATAAGGGTTCCAGTTTTCTCCAAAGTGCCTTCTGGATCTGAATAACTAAGCGAATTTTTTAGTCCGTGAGTGTAATGTTTTTCTGCAATGGCGAGTGTAGCGACACTTGATTGACAGTAAGCGTAATCGGATTCCTAGAAAATTGGTAGGCGTTATGCAAAAACATAGGCTCTTACAGCAGGCGCTCCCTTCCCTTTTCCCTTTCTCCCTCCCCCTCCCCTTTTTGCGCCTGCCACGCAGGCTAATACTGATGCCGTGTCACTACCCAGATCTGGGTAGTGCCTCTGATTGGCAGTGTGGCGAGAGAAATTTGACCTTGAACCAGCCAATGGAGAGGCAATTGATTAAGACCAACAAGCTGAGCAACAACATCAATTATATGAGTTGTCTAGTATCGCCCACGGAAATTATATCAAACTGATTAATGTTATTCGCTTTCTAGCGCTAAAACGGCCGTGGTCGTTGACTACAATTCTCATTGACAGTATGGCCACGTACTGGGTCTGCTCCCACAAAAGTCTCATATGCCGATTGCATGTCCAATAAGCCAGAGTTCACTACGCTGACCAACTATAACGCACTCACTTTGAAACGTTTAGTTTAGGTACAGATGTTCACAAGACGTCGAAATTACGTCAAGAAAAGGTTGGCGTTAAATTGTTTTAAAATTTAAAATACAATTTCAACTTTAATATTACCCTAACTGTGTTTTAGGCTTATGCAATTTTGCAAGGGGGTGAAAATAATTTTTAATTTGGATACCAAACAGCTCTTTTTTAATATAAACAACAGTTCACGCTGGGATGGAAACTGATCATTTTCAATGATAGAAATGTAGGGAGATAATTGGTTCTTGATGTATGGGGAGCATTTATGTAGCAGGTTTGTTTTGCATTTGTGGTATCTATTGAATAAATCAATACAAATTTGCCCCTTTATCACCGGTATGATGAAAATGATAATGATTTTCTAGCTCTTATAAACTCTAAGAAATTACATCAAAAAACAAAGTTTTGGTAGAACTATAGCTAAACATGTGTCTACGTTATTACGTTAAACGTCAAGTCGACGAAAAAAGAAAATATAAAATATACGCGTTAATATGCAAAATGTGGATAAGTATTGTCACAATAGAGTGGGCAATAAACGACTGGTGTGGTTTAGACTACTATTTAAAAAGACATGCCATCTGGTAGGTTAACCATGAATGAACAATTCTGCATTGCGAAGCTTGGTGATTTTGTACAACTTGTAAACTTTCAAAAAGCTTTCATGCTGGTTTTCTGTCTTTTAAACTTCGTGTTTTCCTTAGTGGCGACGCTTGGGAATATGTTACTTATTCGTGCCCTTGTAAAGGCCTCATCGATACCAATCATCGTCAAGAAGCTGTTCCTAAATCTGGCTATTTCTGATCTTGCTGTAGGATTGTTGGTGCAGCTAATGGCGGGTATCATCTCTGCTGTGATGTTGAATATGGCATCAAAAGGAGACTACAACTTGACGCCATTCTGTCCAGTAGTTTTAAATGTTTATAGCTATGTTTTGTTCCTTCTCGGCACTGCATCTTTCCTAACTGTCACTACTATTGCTATTGACAGACTTTTCGCCATTTCTCTCCACCTGCGATATCAGGAGCTTATCACACCCAAACGTGTTACCATAGTGTTGATATCTTTATGGTTAATAAGTTGTATCACTGCCTTCATATACATTCTCCTTCCGGAAAGGAATGAAATGTCAGCTGCGGTTATTTCACTGATAGGATATGTTCTGACAACAGTGGCTTATGTTCGTATTGACAAAGTTGTCAAATATCACCAGAATCAGATATACAGTCAAAATCAGCTTCAAGTTGAACAAAAAAAGGAGGAAATCCGACAAAAGAAGTCCGCCTATAACGCTTTATTTGTCTATCTTGTTTTTCTAGCTTGTTATCTTCCTTTTTTGCCTTCTACAATATTGTATTTGACAAATACTTCTGAAATTTCGTTTCTCGTAGTTCAAGGTGTGTCGATATTCTTGATTTGCCTGAATTCATCACTAAATCCCCTCCTTTATTGCTGGCGGTACCGAGAGATTCGCGAAATTGTTAAAAACACAGTGAAAAGATTATTTTCCATGGACGAGAACATGACATAACAAAAGACCTCAAGTTCAGAATACCTTAATGGTACTTAATTTCGCGATTTTGGCAAGACAGTATTTCGCGGGGTTCTATTTTCCCGATTTCATTAGGCAAATATGAAAAAGGGCATTAAATTTCGCGATTCAAGTGTTCTCAACTAGAGTTTAGTTTTCAATCTTCTGAACATTTTGAAATATCAACATAAAATGAAACAAGCAAAATGCATATTAACGATATTTCAGAAGAACAAAGTCACGGAATGGAACGTACCTGTAAAACCAACAGATAACTTGTCGGTATTTGTCAACACATATATCAGGCAAAGTGTATGTTAGTAAAGTGTAGTTATTAAATGTTTTGTTTCTTTCTGTGATTTGAATTTTCTATATGGGTATTAAATTTCGCGAGGATTTTTATTTGCGGGTCTTTAATTTCGCGACTTTTCCACAATCGCGAAAAACGAGAAATTGAAGACCCGCGACATTATATATAAGTGGCAATGAAGTAATTTTATTTAAGAGCGTAATGCGAACTCATGTCTATTTTAAAAGGCTTGAGTCAACCACGAATTCAGTGGGTTTTGATTCAGGGAAAAAGATTCTTCTCATCGTTGTGAAACCTGGCAAGCAGGTTCCTTTCCACGTTTACATTCATTTGATGAGCTTTTCAACTTTAACAATAACTTATTTATTTATTTATTTATATAGCGCTCATATCCTGAGCTCATGACGCTTAAAGCCTCAGTCGCGAGACTCACCTTCGCCTTGTAACGGACCAAAATGTTTAACTGAAAATGGTGAATACTTAGTCAACCTGTATTCGCCTTATTTTATCGTTTTTCTATGGCTCCTAGTAAGGGCTGTAGAATGCCCCTTTGAACCACGTCCATGTGTTATCGGAAACCGTCAGTTAAGTACAACAGGTCACGTGACTTAACAAATATACTTAAAACTGATAAGGTATAGAATGAATTCCCCATTAAAAGGCGGAATCGTGTTGAGAAGGGTTAAGGCCAATTTGACAGCGAAAAGTTTCGAATTTGTAAAGTGGAAAATAATGTACCCCATTTGAAGGAACACGTTTTGTGGCCTCATCAGAAGCAGGAAATCACGTGACTGTATATGTCACTTTTTTTCTATTATACACGTTAAAGGTTAATTCTTCTCACTTTCACGACTAAAACGAACTTATTCTGACGAGGTGCAAGCATGATGTCTTAAAACTCTGCTGGGGGTTCTCTATATTAAAAAATCCAAGCCTTAACTAGCCTTCTACGCCTGCGTGGGAGGCTAAGCCTTTAACACAATTGAGAAGTTCTAAGCAACGAAACATAGTGAAAAAAGGAATGGAATTGCTGTGCCCAAAGACTAAAGAAATGCGTAATAAGAACAATATTTGTCTCTTTAACATCGGAATTGCTGTCTCTGAATAGAGAAACAAAGACAACTTCGACCAAAATAAAAATTGTCGCAAAACCTTCCCCTTATATTTCCTGCGTTGACCTTGTCTCCAAATGATTTAGTCTCACAAGCCTTAAAATTTATACCAACAATACAAATTCCAGGTTGAATTCTACTCTCTAAACATTGAGTCTAAGGCTTAATAGGTTAACTAACCATCGACATTAACACGAAACGTCACAGCAGATGGCTGTTTTAACAGAAGCTAATAAACGCAGAGAGTAATTAATGTACATATCCATCGAACGAAAACTTCATGTAAATTTACTGGTAAGTTAAACCATGGCTGAACAGTAGTGCACTCAAGCGGTGAATTTTTTGTTACAGTCAAACCAGGTCAAGCGTTCCCGTCGCTAACAAACTAATGAATTCATTAATGGTAAAACGATTTCGTTTGTTGATTCTATAATCCATTCATAAAATGAATAATCCAACAGTCAAATTGTACCTCGATTCAATAATCAAATGTTGATTTGGTTTATGAACAAAATCTACCTGTTCTTTATTCTTGTCTGTTGTGTTCAATCGTATTTGCTTCCCTTTTCCTGCCGTTTACGATTGCGTTTTTCATTGCCTTTAATCAAAATAACAGCTAGAATAGACAGACCGCAAACGCAAAGAAACTGACAAAGGCCGAGGATCGAAATCCACCAATCACCGCACATACACTGACCTCAGTTTGACTGTCGTGTTTTCTAAGAGGTCAGGCCTACGTCTGTTGCACTGATTACTGGCAGAAAACTGGCGTACATGTAACAGTTTGTTTGGGTTTGAACTTCAGAACTCGCCCGCCCTCGACTCTCAGAAAAAAAGAGGAAAAAACAAAATTCTGAGGTCAACTTGTGGAAAGTGTAGTTTTTCAAAAAACAGTAATCGAATCAACATTCGATTATGGAATCGAGGCTAAATTTGAATATTGGATCGTTCATTTTATAAATGGATTATTGAATCAACAAACGAAATCATTTTTCCGTAAATGAATTCATTAGTTCGTTAGCGACGGGAACGCTTGACCTGGTTTGACTGTAAAATTTCCTCGCTACAGGAGAACTTCCTCCCTTGCTTTCTTTGTTTTATACTTTGACATTCTTCTTCCGAAAAGCGATGAAAATGTAGTCGCAGTAACTTGCATTGTAGAATATGTTATGACAACCGTGGCATATGTTCGTATTTACAAAGTTGTAAAATATCATAAGAATCAGATAAGTAGTCAAAACCAGCTCAAACCTGAGCAAACAAGAAAGGCGTTTCGGCAAAAGAGGTTCGCCCACTCACAAAATGTGTTCATGTAGGGAAGTTTCTGGATATATAATGTCCTAGTCTATACACGGACACAAACACAAAAAATCTTTGTACTGTGCTTGGTTGTATTAATCTAAAAGGTTTTTTTATAAAAGGGAAAAAAGCATTTTGACATGCCATAAGAGTTAACAAACGACCAGTGAGGCTCGCTGTGCAGTTGTCCATCCAGACTTTTATATAGCGAGTTCATATTAGAGATTTATTAAAAGAAAAAAGAAGGAAGACGAAAACAACCCAAAATATTAGCTTCCAGTCCTTTCCAGAAACCTCACCGTCTGTTTGAAAACGCAAAAGCCTCGCTGGAGTCACCTTCAACTACGAAACAGGTGTTAAATTTTTCAAACTGAAAGGTTGCGTCAGATGGCTTGAAAGTTTAAAAAGAGAATAGAAGTAAAAAAATCCATCACTACTTTATTACGTTTCAAAGATTTCCGGCTGGTCGGTTAAATTGAGAGAAAAAACTCGCCATTTCAACTTTTTAGAATGATTTTACCTTCTATTGTTACACCAGCCGTTTTAGATTACACAAGCACATCTTTCCCAGCTTGAAACTACTCGCATCTCAGTTATAAACAAAGAGGTAATTGGAACTTGCTGGAAACGAACCATTTATTTCATATTTTAAACGTTTTGTTTTTATTACTTACGTTAATAAACGACCTTACAACTCTGTACTCTACAAACAATACAGACTGCGTTTAAGGCATATCAAACCCTCTACTTTAACATCGAGCGTCAAAGTAGTCGGCTATTTTGAAAACGGAACTGAGAAGGGGTGACAAACGCTGAAAAAAAAAAGGGCTTCTTAAATAACCAGCAAGATAAAAAATGGCTGAACAGTACTGCAATCGAACGTTGAAAGGTCTTCCACAACTCGCCCGTTACCGAAGAACTATCTTCTTTTCTTTTTGTGTTTCACACTTTGCGTTTTCTCTCGTGACAAGTTTTGGAAATATTTTAGTAATTCGCGCCTTATTTACAGCTTTATCAACACCAGCCAACATCGAGAAGCTGTTCCTTAGTCTGGCTTTCTCTGATCTCGCGGTAGGATTGGTGTCGCAGCTAATGACAGGCATTATCTGTGCTGAGATACTGAAGATAGTATCAGAAGGAGACTACAACTTAACGTCACTCTGTCCAACAGTTTTAAATTTATACTACTATGTTTTTTTTCTCTGCGCCGCATCGTTTCTAACTGTCACTGCTATTGCATTCGATAGACTTCTCGCCATTTCTCCCCACCTGCGATATCAGAAGCGTGTCACCTCTATGCGTGTAACTATGGTATTCGGATATCTTTATGGTTAACAAGTTGTATCACTGCCTTCATATACGTTCTCCTTCCGAAAAGGAATGAAATGTTAGCTGCCGTTATTTCACTGATAGGATATGTTCTGACGACCGTGATATATGTTCGTATTTACAAAGTTGTCAAATATCATTTCAATCAGATATACGGTCAAAATCAGCTTTACAATGCACAAACAAGGGAGGCACTAAGACAAAGGAATTCCACATATAATGCTTTATTTCTCTGTTGTTCTCCTAGCTTGTTGTCTTCCTTTTTTGGCTTTCTGTAATGCTGTACTTGACAAATACCTCTGAAATTTCGTTTCTTGTAGCCAAATGTGCGTCGTTATTCTTAATTTGCCTGAGTCCATCATTAAATCCAATTGTTTATTGCTGGCGGTACCGAGAGATTCGCCAAATTGTAAAAAGCACAATGAAGAAAATACTTCGCATGGACGAAAATATGACGTGAGGATGCGAAGTTCTAGAAGACGAAATTTGGAGAGAAAGAGCAATTCGAGAAGGAACCTGGGACGAGTTAACTTTCGCAAAGACGTCTGGGAATCTTACTAGGAACAAAGGAAAAAGAGCCAATTATAAATAGGGAGCTTAAGCAAAGACGCTTTTGTGCGACGAACGTCAACCGGAAGTGAGGTCTTCTCCCTTTTTATATGCCTTGATAGCTGATCGGCGCGTCCCCACTTGAGTAGCAAGCCCAGAAACAACTGCGGTAAACATTTCGGTACTAGTCCCTAACCGTTTCTGGAGTGGCGAATGAATTTGCTGTGCCTCAAGACCAAAGAAAGGTGTAAATGGGAGAAGATTGGTCGCTGCTATTGGAATTAGTAACTCAATAGAGAACCTGAAAACAGACACCTTTGAAGTAAATTCCGTCTACAACTTCCACGAAATGGAATGGACTTGCAGCGCAAAAAGACCAAGAGACTGACGTATAAAGATGAATATCAGTTGAGCATTTTAAACATTGGGATGCAAGGCGATTTTTGTGATAACTACCTACCTAAATCGAATTCTTCAAAACACGATCTGGTCTCTCCGAATTGCGAAAAAAGGAGACACCTTTAGGGCACCTACTTAATGAAACTCATCGTCAACTAACTTCTTAAAGACAAAAACTTAAGAGGTGTTATCCCTTTTTATGGGAAAAAACTGTGTTTGCTATGGCGCAAGAACCTTACCGCTTACAGGCGTGATTGTACCGATTCTTGCAAAGAATAAGTAACAATGTGACAAAATGGCCATTTTTCAAGCTCTAATCGATTTCCATCCGAGCAATCGACAACCAAAGTAGTAGCTTAAAACTGTATGCAGGTCTCCATTAAAAAAGTGACGTCTCTCTTCCGCTTGGCCGTGGGAGATCTGGGAACGAGATAAGACTGGTCCTACAGCTTGTCGTAAGCGACACGCGTGAAAAACGCAGTGCGCATGCGTGCCTTCCCTGCTTCCGGCGCGAATTTGCAAGTGCCTCCCCCAATCGAAATTATACGCGATACCAAAACAAACTAGATTGCGGCCGCGAAATTCAAAAAAGTAAGCTCCACACACAAAAGATAAACTTAGAATTTCACGAACACAAAGTTTATTAATTGCTTTAGTTTCTCTCTTTTGCACCACATACTTTCCTCCTTGCACCAAAGGCGAAAATCATGTTTGAAAGTCCACGCTCGCTCTGGCAGCACTTCGCCGTAGCCATTGTTGCTGTTTTGGTCATCATGTCGCTGAGCTCGGTCAATGCGAACAACGAAAACGACCAATGCATGCTAAGTGGAAAAACAAGGACGGAAAAACCTTGTACTGGACGACTTTACCAGTTAGTTCAGTTAGTTTAAGTAATTTTTTGTTGTGCTTAATACTAGAACCGGCTGCAAACCATTAAACATATCAAACATTCCTAAGTGTTTTTCAATTTAAATGGGGAAGATTTTGCAAATTTTAATTATTGAAAATAGAGACCTTGCGCATGCGCAGACGTTTTGCACGCGTGTCGTCGTAAGCCTACAGCGAAAGTTGCAATACGCGGTACGGAAAAAGATGGAGCCACGCACTGAACTCTGGGTAGATCGACAAAAATCATGTAAACAAACCAAGTCGACGCGATCAAGTTACATCTCTCGGAAGACTTGCTAGAAGAAACTCCAGAGAAACTGTCTGGAAAAAATCAGTTTACACCAGAACAATAAACAATAAAGCTGTCATGTTGAACAATAAGAAAGTACTTATAGATTTCTCGGACTGACTTCAGGGGCTTTAGACGAGGTTATCTTGCCTATTCTCAATGAAAACACTGAGACTAACAAATATACTGAAATAATTTCTTTAAATAATGTGAGAAATAAAATAGCACTGACATTAAACAACCAATCTAGGGAGAACAAATGAGTCAAAGAAGTTCTCCAACTCATGGATACTGGCAGAAACCCATTCTCTGCTCAGAGTTATTCTTTCAATGAACGAATCACTCTGGGTTGCAACCACAAAGTCGCACCAGTGATAAATGTCTCTCCATGCCTACAAATAACTGTAGTTGGGACTAGTGGTGATTAATATGTGTTTTTGCTTGAGTTTCAATCATGTCTTGTTGGAATTAGCATATTCTAAACATAAATTACCACTTGAGTTTAAAGCATCGAAAAAGGTCGTCGCTAGTAGTCGCTCCTCGGCGTTTACATTTTCTTTTCGTTTTTCTTCTTGGATTTTTCCATTTGGATCCTTCAGCAGAAGCTCATCCCATCCATATTGGATGTACGAGTTGATTCTTTCAGACAAAAAAAATACCACATCAAAACCAGTCTGACAATTTCCTGCCAAAATTATAAAAGCGGTTCTTTCAGCAGGCAACAGCCAACATGTCAATTATGGACAGAAACGTAATTGGGACTTGATGGAAAAGGACCATATATTGCAGAGTTTAATTGTTTTGTTTTTAATACTTACAGCTGTAAGTCGGAAAACCTTTCCCTTGTTTTCTGGGTTGGCCTTGTTTTATGCAATTTGATTCGAAGTTTCAACCATTAAAATTCTTACCAACAATAACACTCAATTTTTGTTTGCACTCCACATATAAACATTGAGTCTAAGGCTTTAGATAACTAAAAAGCTATATTATATGGGCCACAGTTGTGTCACAGCAGATGGCTGATGTGAAAGGTACATTATAGTTAATAAACCGAAGGGGTAATTAATGTAGATATTTAATTCAAAGGAAAAATTCACGTATATAATCAGGCAAGTTAAACTATGGCTGAACAGTACTGCACTCGAATGCTGGATTTTTCCCACAAACTTGTTCTCCACAGGAGAGGTTTCGTTCTTGGTTTCTGTGTTTTAAACGTTGTATTTTCTCTCGTGGCGACTCTAGGAAATCTTTTAGTCATCCGTGCCATAATGAAGGCCTCAACCATACCAGTGAACGTCAAGAAGATGTTCTTAAGTCTGGCTTTCTCTGATCTTGCAGTGGGTTTGTTGTCGCAACTAATGTACGCTATTATCCATGCGGTGATACTGAAGATGGTATCGAGTGGAGAAAACTTAGCCTCCTTCTGTCCAACAGTTTTAAGCGTGCTTTATTACTTTTCGAGTCTGCTCGCCACTGCATCTTTCCTGAATGTTATTGTCATCGCAGTTGACAGACTTCTCGCTGTTTCGCTCCATTTGCGATATCGGGAGCTCATCACGCCCAAACGTGTTACTAAAGTACTGTTGTTCCTATGGTTAACAAGTTGTATCATCGCCTCTATGTTAATTTTCCTTCCAAAAGGCAATGAAAAGGTAGCTGTGGCTATTTTACTGGTAGGATATGTTTTGACAACTGTAGCATATGTTCGTATTTACAAAGTTGTCAAATATCATCAGAATCAGATTTACACTCAAAATCAGCTTCAAAACGCCCAAACAAGGGAAGCACTCCAACAAAGGAAGTCCGCCTATAATGCTTTCTTTGCCTATCGTGTTTTTCTAGCCTGTTATTTTCCTGCGATACCTTCTACAATATTGTATTTGACAAACACTTCTGACATTTCGTTTCTCGAAGCTCAATTCGCGTCCACATTCTTGGTTTTTCTGAATTCATCATTAAATCCTCTTGTTTATTGCTGGCGGTATCAAGAGATTCGCCAAATTGTAAAAAGGACAATAAAGCAAATATTTCACATGAACGAGAACATGACATAAGGAAAGATCTAAAGCTCAAGATAGATAGTATTAACTGAAAGTCGAGACTTGGCCACTAAACTTGTCAACGTTTTTACTTTCACTATTATTTATCAATGAACAAAGTTATGACGATTTTGTCACGTGATGACCAAACTGTGCTTAGCGATTGGTTTCAGGCTAACCAACACTTTACCCCAGTCTACAAGTTGTGGACATGGGGCATGTTGCGTAGACAAGGGACGAGAAGTATACTCTGCGACTCCCAGATGCCTGCGGGTTCGGAGTCTTCAGTAGTGGACAAAAGAAAGCACTAAGAACAACAAAATCCCAGGACAACATACCTCCAAAGCTTTTAAAGCTAGCGGGCGACACGATAGCCTGTCAATATTCTGCCTCTGCATTAAGAACAGGATAGTGTTTACTAACTGGAAAACTGCGAGTCTTACTCCAGAACATAAAAAGGACGACGAAACCAATTGCAGTAACGTTAGAGCGATATCACTGCTAAACGTCCCAAGCAAGATCCTTGAATAAGTACTAAACAACACATTTGTCTGTCATGTCCATGAAGACAATAATCTGGTCAAAGGACAAATGACAGGCACACCAAAAAGGGACTTTGGCATATTAGAACCACTCATGGACTGCAACTCTGACTTATTTCAGTCTCAGGAAGGTCTTCATTGCAGGCCTGCGCTGCGAGACTTATTTTTAATTTGCCTAAATACATGGCGTCTGCTTAACTGGCTTAAGTCCTACAACAGGCTTAATCGCCAACCCTCTCTTTTTATCATAAATTTGCTCTTTTTATTTGTTTTCTTAAAGCTTGCCATGATAGGTTAGCTGTCACAGTAATCGATTTTTAAACATTTCAAAGAAACGGGCGACAAGTTAATCAACCCGGGCATGCGTTTCTCTAGTAGTTCCGTGTTTCAACACTCGCTTCATGCAAGACTCCGTCGCATGTAGAGGCTCAGTCCTATGGAACGCAGTGACTGGCAAATAATATTTCATGTCGTGGCCTCAGGCTAAAGCTTAAATCTTTAGATATCTTCAATAAATTTAGCTTTAAGATAACGTCCGCATCTACTCTTGTAGTCTTATAAAAGATAATTTTGTATATAATACTTGACTTCCTCACATTTGTAAATATTCCTACTTTATATTCTTATTTGCTTTTGGTAAATGCCATTAGTTTGTAGTTTCTCATTGTCATTAGTTAGCTGCAAACGACCCCACAAGCTCATGTAGCTTTAACACTCATCGTTTGTAAATAAAGACTATCTAGCCATTTAAGCCCTAAAAGTGATCAGTAAGAAATTTCTCCATGTAATTATAACATCAACGCTTTAGAAAACAGAGTGGTGGCGAGAATAAAGGACACGATCACACAAGATGAATCTAACTGATTCTTCAGTAACTTCTTCCCACTATTACTATAGCAAACGTATGGGGACAACAGAGGAGAATTTGAATTTGGATACCGTATTATGGTTTAAAAGGGTTAAAAGGCCAAGTAGATTAGTTCTCCCACGAAATGGTCTTAGAACTTCGCCAACAACAAAAAAAAGAATCATATTCTACTGATTGACGCCAGACACACAAGAACAAAATTAATATTAAAAGTAAACATTAGAGTATTGGCTGCCTGAAAGGACCAGAGGGGCTAGCGCCGGGGGGTACTGCCATATATGGGCTATATAGGTATGTGCCGCTGTGAAGGGTATGGTTTTCAAGCAGTTTACTCTAGGATAGGGTATATAAATCAGAGCCTTTGGGTCTAGAATAGGGTATCATTTTTCAGGAAACTGATCAGTTGGTTGAAGATTTTATCAAGACTAGGGAAACAGCTACTCTAGGATAGGGGGGGATTTGGGGAGTTTACTCTAGTATAGGGTATCAAAATTCAGCTGAACTAGCTCTGGTTTAGGTTAAGGGTTCCAGGGTCCCAGCGGCACATCCCCACCCAGAAATTCCTAAAGTATCCCCCTTCCCGGGGGCAAGCAGAGCCAGGCAGCCAGTTGACATCAGCATTAAATAGAAATAAATTACAGGTCACCAAGAAAACGCCATCTTTCTCGCAGAACATAACATTTTCAGGATAGAGATAGACCTAGGCACTTTACTTTACGTGGTAAATATGCTTAGCTATATGGCTATATGGCTATATGGATATATGGCTACTACAGATATCCCACGGGTAAAATTAAGGTAGAAATTAAAATACAAAGTTTTAAAAATTTAAATTACTAATTGCCATGAATATGAATTAGCTAAGATATAATAATTAAAAATACCTTAACCTGAAATTATGATTCAATGAAAAAACTTATAAAAATTCTAAAAATCTAAAACTTCAAAACACAAACCCTGCTAGCAAATTCCTTAGTTCCAGCTGAAGCACAAAAATTGTATGCGTATCATTTTAATCTGATCCACCAAGAGCTGAAGAGAGTTCAATGTATATACAGCTTATAGAATGATATTCTTACAAATTATCAAAAAAAGTCATAAATGTATTTAAAGAAGGTTGGTTGTATAACCCTTCTCCAGTGTTGAGAAAACAGTTACAATACTTGATTGTTATTAGAAGCTAAATGAAGCGCGCACATGTAAATTGTAGTGTGTGCCATATATACATCTAGCACGCATAAAGGTGAAAATTCTGTTCTCAAAGGTTTGAACCATTATTGAAAACAAATAAAATAGAGTTTAAAAACAATGGGAAGATCATATTGGGTACATTCGGCTAAATTGGAGTATCCGGTTTGTAAAGGGGCAACAAGACGCCTAATTTTCTGCCCATATCTCCTATAGTCAGGTGTGCATTCTTATAATACAAGAAGATCGGGGGTCTTTTAGTTACTCCATTGCAGGACGAATTTAAGAAAGTTGTCTATCTGTTTCCAAGGTTCTAAGTTCTTTAACTCTCTTAGTGTTGAAATTGAAAATGCAACAAGCATTACGTCCTTTTTCTGTAAACTAAAAGCATTTTCATACCAAAAGATATTTTCTTTGCCTCTCCATTTAATTTTTTCCAATTTTCGCTTTGCATTTGTTAACCTAAGCTTAATACAAATATCTAATATGTTATAATGTTTAGTGTTAAGTAGCTCTGCCATTTATTTGACATGTATACTTCCGCTGATACTTTTAATAATAATTATTTGAGGAAGCCTATTCCTTGGGCTTCCTCACGGTTAGCTTCTTATATTTAAGTAATTCATTTATATTGTGGCAAAACAATAAACTTCTAACTTGAAGTGAGATCTCAAATTAGAGAACTTTAGATTCAAGGATGAGGACGACTACGAATGAGAGATTTGACTTAAAGTTTTTTCACGTATATTATCATAATATAGACTTCCCGCAAAGCTTCATTTTACCATTTATCACTAGAAAAGTTATCACTGTTACTTTTAGTGAAGTATTTGTCATTGTTGCTTCTTGCTGCCCAAACACTGGACATTCATCTGGGTTTGCAGGTTAGGGCGGGGCACTCTTAACATGATGTTTGTTTACAATAAGTAACAGCTGCTGTTGTGGATCACTTTTGTTTGTTGTGGTGAGGAATTAGACAAAATTTTCAGGACAGAATTAATTAAAAGAAATAAACAGGTTATATAAAACACATGGGTATTGTTTAGTGAAGAAATAAAGTAAACTTACTTGTGCTATATTTGCATTCCTAAGTTGTGTTGCAGAGATCTTTGCTTTCTTTGTGATCCTGTCTTAACCTTTATAAAATCGACATTTAATGGAGAAAGAATAAACAGTCATAAAGAGTGCTCTTCAAAAACCTTTCAGGTAACTAAACACAAATTACTGGTGAGTGGTAAGTGGTTATGGTAAGTATTTTGAGCCTGGGGGGAGGGGGTGGTGCTTCCAAATATGGGGTAGACGGGTATAATATAGCCTCCTGACAGGGTATGGTTTTTAAGGGTGAGGATCCTTAAACTGGGTATCATTTTTGATCACCTGGTTAGCTAGGTTGTGAGTTCAAACCCTGGCAAGACCAGAGAAATTACTGCTTTTGAAATGACATCTGTAAATGGTTAGACTTTCTAGTCCTCTCGGGTAAGGAAGAAAAACTGTAGGACCCGTCTCACAGCACTTTCACTAATCTGGTTCTTGTGGGGCATAAAAGAACCCACAGCACAAAAAAATTGAGCTTGGAGTGCTGCCATATAGTATGAGAAATAGTAGCTAAGCATTTGTTTTCCCTTGTATGGGTTGTCATTTTTCGAGTTTGGGCCTCAAATAGGGTAGCATCAGGGTTTAGGACCCTGGACGACACACACCTATCCGAAACTTATGGGAGTACCACTCACCTCTCACCCACGGGGTGTTATGAGAGGGTCTGGAAGGGGGGGTCCTGATCCCGCATTCCCGCCCCTTTTTCGCTAGAATCCCGCATCCCGCACGTTTTTCATCAGTTTCCCGAATCCCGCTTTTCTTTCCCACAAAAATACATTAATAAGTCTAATTTCTACAAAAGCTAATAAATGTAAGATGTGGGTTGATCCTTTCGATTGATATTTTGAATTTACTCGTGTTTTTAAGGCCTCTGCAAAAAGAAATAGCTTTTTGTACCTAAGTATGAAGAAAGAGCACGATAGGAAAGCATGATCTGTCGTCCTGTACGCGTACGCACTGTCTTTGAAAGGAAGTATACAGGAACAGCCTCAACCGCGTCTTCCTGGTGGGTTGCACTGTCTTCTTCAAGTTCAAGCTGCTAACCCGGTGAAGGTTTTTAAAAGCCTCACGAAGTTGAAGAGGTCTTTGTGTTCATCACTGCTTAGCGGGACATTGAATTTTTCTTTATGAATCGGCGAGGTTCTCGCGCTAGAACTATCGTCGGGGGCCGCAAGATAAAATGAGACCAAAACTCTCACTGTACAAGTCGTACAAGAGCTAGCATCACTATTTGCCATATCTAGGCCAATCTAGCGTTTAAGCTGTTCAAAAGATCCCCTCAAGATTATAATAAAAGCGAGGCTGCCGAAGAGACTGAAGAG